AATCACTATCTGATATAGTTTCTTGAGTTAATGCTGAATAAAATGAATCTTGAGTGAATGGTTCCTCTTTATATAATTCTTCTTCGTAATTTTCCCATGTGATGAATTGATAAGGGAAAAAGGATTTAACACGTGATTTATTGTTTCCGAAATCTTGAGTGAATTGGTCTAATGTCCCACCCGCTATATAATTTCTGATGTCAATAAATCTCAATTCATATGGAGCGTTTGTTTTTTACAATGACTTGCTTAAATTGAGAAGAAGAACCCAGCATTGATTTTATTTTCCATTTTGCAGTGTTTAAATCACGAAGAATTAAATTTAAATCAAACTTTCCCGAATTAAAACCTATGATATTCACTTTATTGAATTCCTCATCTAGAAGTTCTTTAAATGCTTCCTTCTGTTTTTCATTTAATGTATGAGACAAAGTCCCCGCCGTTTGGTCTGAAAGACCTTCAGGACTCAAAGAGTCCGTTTGCGACTTCATTAATTCTTCATATTGTTCAATATTTGATTTAGCAACTAATGAACAGGTTGAAAATAAAAACTCAATCCAATCAGAAATAAAAGAATCACTCGAAGTTAAGCAAAAATTCCTCGTATATGTTTTATCATTTAATTTAACCGTTGATGATACCATGAATGGTTTTAAGTAAGCGTTCAAAGTTGCACACTCAGAAAGTTGTAATTCTTCTTTAGTCTCTAATGTTTCGAAGTCAAAAGTAATATAATATCTTGTCGGTTGATAATATTCCTGCAAATTATGAGCTAATAACCACTGATATATCTTCTGTTTCGTAATATGTGGTGCATATGGTTGCTGTGTCTTTTGCAATTGAACGTCTTGAATTAATCTTCCATTATTTTCTTTACATTTCTCACAATGCTTTAAAAATCTTCTTTGGTTTTTCCTTTCTGGATCATCACGGATAGAATAAACTTCTTCTTTACAATATGGACAAACTCTATAGCCGGTGAGTGCTTCAACGTCTGTTATTCTGTCAGCGTGAAGTTTTCCACATGGACTCTGTGTTAATAAAATATTTATTGTTTCAAATTCTGGATCTATCATTATTGAATCCACTAATGGAAAGTCTACCTTATTTATGTCCACGTCTTCTGGTTGAGGATCACAATAATAGAAATCAATATTAACATTTAACATTCTCGCTAATCTCTCACTTTCTGATGAAATGTCAAACCCTTCATATGAATCTATTGCTTCATTTAAATAGCTTCTACGAGTTTTAGGATTAACACCATCAGGAATGTTATAGAAGCGTTTAAATAACCTTCTACCTTCTGCTCTAATTTGATTATCATTCATTTTAGCTGTTCCGTTTTTGTTCATTTATGTAAGAATAAAAAATTAAAAAATAAATAAAAATAAAGTTTATTTTTTAAAGCCCATAAAATGAATTAAGAACACATAAATTTTTATCATCTGCAACGTGACGAATACATTTTAATTTACTCAAGAATGTGTACCCTGATACATTAAATCTAATTCCTGTCTTATTTAATTTCACAACTTTGAAAAGGAATGTATGAATAGCTATAAAATGATGAGAAGATGTTTTATGGGTTGCTTCCATTTTTTCTGAAATAAATGAATAAATATAATGTTTATACGTTTTCATATCTTTTATATTCTTAATAACGAATGGTATAGACCTTTCAACTTCGTCTTCCTTCGGTGCTGTTCTTTCATATGAAACATTATTGGTATCTTCAACAATGAAACCACAATCACATAAAATTTTATATGTTCCAATGGTTTCTTTTGATATTTTATCTAATAAATCAAAAACTTTATCAACACCTGTGCATTTATTTAAATAATAATTTGTGTAAATATCATGATCTTCTTTCTTAATCGTATTAGTTGCATATATCACGTTTTTAAGAGCTTTTTTGAATTTCTCAGAATCGAGAGGGGGTGAAAGTAAGATACAAGGGTATTCTTCATTATCAATAAATTGTAACTTATGTTTACGAATAAATTTAGTACCTTCTTCTGAAAGTGTTTCATCTATTTCGCCATCTAATAAATTTTGTGTTGATTCTGAGACATAATTTTTATATCTTTCTTCATGAGATTTCTGAACTGCTGATTCTGAAGCTGGATATTCATTAAACCCTCTACTTCATTTTCATTATATTTTTCAACTTCTCTTAATTCCTTAATTTTTTCATCTATTTCATCTCTTATTTTTTCCAGTTTTTCAATTTCATTGTATTCATCATCATCTTTAATCCGTTCTTCATAATATTCAGGGAAAACATCAGGTTCTTTAGGTTTTTCTTCTTCAGATGTGGGATATAAGAAATTTATAACATCATCTTTATTCATTTTTCCATCATAATCTAAATCATTTAATAACTCGGCAAATTTTTGACAATTTCTTAAATAATATTTACTAACTTCATAACACAACTCATCTAATATATCCTTTATTTCCTCGTTTGTGAATCCTAATTTTTTAACGTCGTTAGTTTTGACGCTCATTTCATACGAATTAAAAATAAATTATTCAAAAATGTAAGACATTGAATTTTTAAAGTTTATTTTTTTATTTTTTATTTCATTATGGTAGTGAATCTTTCATTCATGAAAATAATTATTTCTAATTTCTTTTACTCTCTCGTACATACTAGATTTGAAGAATTCAGAACTTTTACCATAATCTCCTAAATGTTTTCTTATCCCTAACGTGTGCCAGTTATTATATGAAACTGAATAAACTTTATCTTTATCTTTACACCTTTCATCACTTCCAATATATTTATATCTCAGTTTTGATTTAGCATTTTCATATTCATTAGCGTTTAATAATTCACAGTCTTCCTTTTTAAATAAATGTTTTATGTATTCAGGATTTAATACTCTACGTTTATATGCTCCTAACTTAATTCTAAAGGTTTTTCTACAAAATTTAGGAATTCCATCCTCTTTAATGTCATCAATGATTTCCATTTCATTATTTTCAATTTCTTCTTCTCGTTTATGAGGTCTTTGATTATGACTCCATTGATTCCATGAAATTAAATATTCTTTATCATTATATTTATACCTCATTAGCTTATTTTGGCTTTCATATTCATTTAATAATTCACAATCTTCATTTTTAAATTGAAGTTTAACCCATTCAGGATTTAAACAATGTTTAATTAATCGCGGAATATCTGACATCATCTATATATAGCTTCTTTTATAAAAGATAAAAAATAAATTATTTTAAAATTAATGTTAATTTTTTAATGATTTATAAATAAATATATTTTAATGCATCGTCTATATATAGATGTAACAAAAAAAGTCACACAACCCTTCCTATCCTACTACTAAAAAAAAAATTCAAAGAATTGACAATTAGATAGCACAAATTTAATTCTCTAGACAAAGTATTATTGCTTATATATTCAAAACATTATCCTTAGTTTTGATATGTTGGCCAAAAATTTTTGTGTTATTTTTTGTGTTTAAGCATAAATTATGTATTTACTTATGAAGGATAAGCATTTTATTCATTGTCATAAATATGTACCATAACAAATTGATAAAATTTTAAAAAATTGTGTATTTTAGCGGGTATTATTCTGGCCAATGCCCGTTGTTACAAGATTTAATATTAACCATATCAATAGCAGACTCAATGTAAAAATTTAGATATATTTTTTTTCATTATTCAAACTTTAATAAATTTTAGTATAATGAATGATTTTGTTTCGTGTATGATACAGAAATGAAAAGCTTAATTAATATTATTTTGCATTTTTTCAAGAATGTTAGAGTATATCTACATTCAAAAATCAGATTCGAACTGCGATACTGCATTAAATTGATGCACATCTGATAAGGATCTCAAAAGAGTAAAGTTAATTTTTTTTTGAGTTTTTTTAAGTTTTGGGCCTTAGTAAAACACCATCTCGAGCAGTATTTTTGGGACGACGATAGGCCTTATTTGGCCTTACAGTGGGCCCTTAAAATTGATCTTTCTAATACATATTTTTGGAAGGGCGTAAGATACGCCAACTTAAAAATATTATCAAATGAGAGAAAATCACTCAACAAAAAAACAATTCTTTCAAAAAGTTTGACATTGATCTTTCTAATACATATTTTTGGAAGGGCGTAAGATACGCCAACTTAAAAATATTATTAAATATGAGAAAATCGCTCAACAAAAAAACAATTCTTTCAAAAAGTTTAAAATTGATCTTTCTAATACATATCCTTTGGAAGGAGTTTACATTCTCAAAATAAAAACCAGTTCAAAATCTTATTATTCCTTGAATAAAAATCATTTAATTTCAAATCCATTCCAAATCCTTAAATCTGTATTAAAATCATTTTGCCAACAACCAATACAATACAAATTACATTTCCATATATCTTCTTGTCCATTTTAATTTTTTATCTCATTTTATTTAATTTTATTTAAAGCATATAGACATCGAGATCCTTTACACATAGTTATATAAAAGTCAAATACATAATAAATTCTTAATTCTAGAGATATCTCAAAATCTCATTTTTTTAATTTAAAATACCTTTCATTTTTCACAGTACGATCACAACAAACAAGCCATTTACTAATTAACACATATAAGAAAAATATCAAATTACAAAACAACTTTCAATATCATTCGCATCAAATTCTATTTTTTCATAATTATCAACTACATTTATTATATAATATATGTCGGCGCATATTCCACTCTATACAAGTGTCAGACACACTCACACAAAGCTGTGAGATTCATACCTCTATCAGTAGGACTTCTCAAATCAAGAACACATATGTTTCACTATAGCACATCTGTGTAGGATCTAATTAACCCTTTGGACTGGTACTTCAAAATTTGATAATTTGATAATTTCATGTGATATCATCATTTGCCTTTAAAACAACTGTGTGTTAAACTAGACACGTTTCTCTATCATAATGCAAAATATCAAAGTTTGGGAGACTCCGATTTTGATTGCACATTTATGGAATTTCGAATCTTTCCATCGAATCTAGAGGATATGTCATACACAATCGATGAAAACGAATTAAATTTCTTACCACAATTCATCAATTTACAAAAAATAAACTTTACCACAGAACAAGTTACAAAGATAGCAATTAAATACCTTAATCTAACGGGATCTAAAGTGAATGAGATTATATTACCAGGAAATACGATTGTTAATATCTCCGATGGTGCATTACAAAGTTATTCTCTTCAAAAGATAAATATTCATGGAAATTATCAGGTTAATCTAAAAAACCTCTTTGAAAACTGCCCTAACCTATTAAGAATTGATTTCATTGATTTTAATGATGCACCCAACATTTCTGAACTTCAGGGTTCAAACTTAAAAGAAATACATTTAACAAATTCATTTCTTGAATTTAAAAAACAATTATCATTTTATACAAACCTACAAACAATTATTATAAATGATCAGTATACTGTAAATTGCACAGAATTGAAACAAAATGTTCCAAAATTGTCTAGTTTTTCAATAAATCAAAATTATAAAGGATATTTTAAAGGAAATATTCAATATAGTTCTAATTCTCTAGTTGGTGGAATATCGGACGTAAGAGATACAGTTCCATTCTACTTCGTTAACAGTAGTATCGATTCCAATTCAATTGATATTGAAACAAATAGAGAAAAACAATATATCGCATACATTTATCAATTAAGCGTAGAAAAAATTATATCATTTACAAGTAGTTTACGCTTCAAAGAACTGCATATTAAAACGAAAAATTTGGAATTTCAACGAAATAACAATAATTCTCCATTTGATATAACTAACCTATTTTTCGAGGACTATGAAATTCTGACGATAAATGAGAATTCATTTAAGCAAGATGATTCTATTCAAGGATTTCATTTTAAAGGTGGCCAAATCATAATCAGAGAAAATGCATTTAAAGATCAAACAATTAATTTACTTGATTTGCAATATAATTCAGAATCAAATGTTAATGATAGATCATTTGTTCATTGCAATATCCAAAATTTTTTGTTGGAAATAACACAAAAATCAATTTCAGAAACATCATCGATAACAATATTGACATTAACTTCTTTGGATGGAACAATGGATATTCTTTATATAATGGAAGTTCTACTCAGGGCACGAAAATTATTGTTGTTAAAAAGGGAATGGAATTGACACCATTAACGTTTGCAGGACTAACACCTGATGAAGTTATTTTCGAAATATGTAATTACACTATAATTGAAACTAATACATTTGAAGGTACTACTTTAAAAAATATAACTTTCAATGTCGAAGTCAAAGAAATCAAAAACGCGGCATTCAATGAGAACATAAATCTTGAAAACATTATATTTAATTGATCTACAGAGAATATGATAATAAATCAACAAGCATTTCATTTTGGAACATTGAAACAAATCACCTTCACTTCAGTAAATATTACATTCATAAGAGAATCATTTAATGCTATTCATAATCTTAATTGCATCACGATCAATTCAAAATACATACAATTCAACGAAAATACATTCAATGTTCTTTCTTCCCTAGAAAAAATCTTCATTAACAGTATTGATAGTAATGCTTTAGTAACATTTGAATCAAACACATTCTATAAGTGCGACAAGTTCGAAACAATTGAAATTATCAATCCAAACACAAATCTTGTTATTAATGAAAATGCATTCGCAAACACAAAAATTAAGACATGGAAAATAGATCAGACATATGAAAAATTTGATATTTTGAGTATTATTAAACACTGCCCAAACCTTGAAAGTATTATTGTCATCAGCAGTAGGTCAGATATTAAATATATTTCAAATACTGAAGATTTACAAGACATTGGAAATGCAAAACATATTAAATTTGTAAGCAAGAGCATAGGGCAAAGTGAAATCAACAGCTTAAATATTGATTTTTCACAAAATGAAATCGACGAAATATCATTTTTTATGTTGAAAAAAGAAAAAATTTCGAAATTACCTAATTTCAATGTTAATAAGATCACATTTTATGCGAATATCAGCAATTTTGAATCAAGTCCTTTCAAAAATATAACTAATCTTAAGTCAATTCATTTCGAAGGTAGTAATCAGTTAAATTTTGTTGCAAACACATTTGATGGTCTGCATTCATTAGACAGTATTACAATAAAAGATAATACAGATATTGATTTTGGTAATTCTGTTTTTGAGGGCTTGACGTTAAAATCATTTATTTTACCAAAAAACTCACGTTCAACAATTAATCAAAATTCATTTTTTAGAACTCATATCGACAATTTAATTGTCGGAGAAAATGCTATAATCAATAGAGAAAGTGTTCTTCGCAATTATAGAGCAATTTCTCAAAGTTTATCCAAATTGACTATAAAAAATGTTATTTTCAATGAAAAAATCAGTAATTTTCAACATAATGCATTTAATAATATTTATTCAGACTATGCCATCATATTTAATGATGATTCTGAGAACTCAATCATCAATAATGGTGTATTTCAATTAAGTAGCTTTAATACAATCATATTCAAATCACCAAATATAATATTCGGCACTCATTTATTCAACGAAACAAGTTTTAGTAAGATCGTTATAGACAGCAACATTGACAACCCTGTAGTTAAATTCAGCAGCGAAGCATTCAGAAATTGCGGACAATCAATAACAATCGAAATAATTAATCATCGAAGATGGCGCATTTTCAAAAGTGGAGAAAGTAAAATTTAATTTCACCGATCTTTCTCCATCAGATAGATTGACTCTTTTAAGCCAGAATCCAAACATTGAGTTCATTGGTGGTAGTAATGAGGCAGTCACATTGAATATAACAGACTTAAACGAAATCAATAATTATAACGGAATCATCACCAAATTTATCTTTTTAAATCCAGAAATATCATTGAAAGATGTTCCATCATTAAATGTCACATATGTTACATTTAATTCTCTTAAAGAAAAAGAAATCACACGTGTTAATAATCTTAATGTAAGCAATATAATATTTGAAACAAATATAGAACACATTGCTTCATTTAGTTTTTCAAAAAACACGAATCTTACATCAATCAGTTTTACCAAAAATTATCCACTTACAATAGATGGAAATGCATTCAATGGATGCACAAAATTGACAACTATCAACATCTCAGAGAATGCAAAAGTTACAATAGTTGATTTTGCATTTAATAACACAAGAATAAAAGTGTTCAACGTTTCTCAGAATTTCAATGTTTCATTTGCAAGTTTAGCTTTAACAGGACTTAATATCATCAATGTTAATAAAAATGATAACAAAAACATCTATATCAGTGATCAAAGTGATATTGAAAGTAAATGTCAAGCAATTAATGAAAATATGATTTTGAATATTTTATCAACAGATGTTTCTATTTCTTCACTTAAAGATAAATGTTTTAAGAATGTTGACACAGTTAATCTTTATTTGGTCAGTGATACTAGTACTAGCATCAACTCAGATATGTTCATTAACTCAAAAATCAAAGTATTTAATGCAGAATTGACAAAAATCAATAAAATTTGGTCTGGTGCATTCACAAATTGTTCATCTCTTAAGTCTATTTTACTTCCAAAAGGTGTTGATTTCAACTTTACAGAAATTTTAATCAACTGTAAAAACATCGAAACATTTAAAGCACTTCTAACTTACGTTACATCTCCTGAAGATATCAACAATGCATCCGTCGTAATCTCATCAAAACAATTCAAGCTATCAGAGCTCAATTGTTTAAAGTACAAAGATATAGTGAATATTTCAATTGTGTTTTGCAACGAAGCAACAATTCCAAGAAATTCATTCAAAGAATTGAACAAACTACGAAGATTCGATTTATCACAATCAAAAATATCATCCATTGGAACGGGTGCATTTACAAATATTAACTCAATATTTGAGTTAATGCTACCAAAATCACGAATAACTATTTTAGAAGATGCTTTCAAGAACGTAACAATTAAACAATTAAAAGTTACATCTAACTTGGCACTTAATAAGGGTGCATTCAACAACTGTACAATTAATGAAATTTACATAGATGAAGGCGTTACAGATTTCAATGTTGGTCCATTCAACAAATGTGGTGACAATCTCACTATCAACGTGAATGTAAATAATACTCTATTCAAATGGGAACAATTTTTGCTGAAAAAGATACAGAGAGGTTTAAGAAAACTTCGTGCAGAATCAGATCAATATGAGTTGATCTACATTCCTGCAGCATCAGATGTAGTTCTCAACATCTCAGAATATAAAATTGAGCCACATGCACTTTCGTATTGCCAAAAATATGCTATCATTGCAAACCCGAAGTCAATGGATTCATTGATAGAAACATGTAACTCTGGCGGTGATAGTGCAACTGTATTTTTACCATCTGAAGTAGACTCATTTGATTATCGTTACTTCAATTGCAGATCCAAGGTTTGTTCACTGAATTGCAAGGGAACAAATGATCCACCTCGAACACCATATCCAACACCAATTCCAACACCCGTACCAATCAATTCAGAGAATGCTATGCAGAAAGACAGCGTTGAACAAGTAACTCCAGTTTTATCTGTCCAAGATGATGGAAAAACAGTTCAAATGACAGCAACATTGTCAGAACTTGTTACACAATCGGAAACAGATACTGAAACAACAGAAATTTCCATCACAGATACAAATAGTTCATTGACAACGACATATGTTATTGTTTACATAAGAACATTGATTGATATCGTAACAATGACATACACAAACATCTGGATTGAATATAATGATGTTGAAACTCGTCCGGGACTTTCCACAGGTAAAGTCATTTTATTGTCAACAGGATGTGTTGTTCTTGTATTTTTGGTCGTTATGATGGGCCTTTATCTATATCGACGTACAAAAGATAATGTTGATAATGATTCATCAACATCATTCACTGAAATGGAAAAGGATATTGGCCACGTTATAGATCCACAAAAAGATGATTTTGATATTGAAAGTGACCCTGAAAACAACCTTGATGAAACAACTCGCGATAATCCTTTGACAATAACAAATGATTCGGATGATATGAAATACGATAGCTATAGCTATGATACGGACAAAAAATCAAACAATAATCTTATGAATTTCGAAATTTAATTAAAATTTTATTATTTTTAAGTACTTTATAATATAGTTTTTTATAACTATCACCAAACTTTTTAAAATCAGATATCAAATAAAGTCTTATTCTTATTATATTTATGATTCACAAAAAGTTACGAAAATTAAGCACTTTTTAGCACAAAATCATAAATTTGCTTGATATTTAATGTTTTACCACAATATAACATCATTATATCAGAAGCTTTATGTATATCTAGGAAAAATTAATATTTAAATTACCTATATATTAATAATTTATTCTCCAACAAAAACCATATCATTTATACAACATAACTTTAAAAAGATTATGTTCTAATTCAATATTATAAATTGACGAATAAAGATTTTATAATAAATCTCTTTGGCATATGAAACAAGGATTGATTGGATTATTATGAATCCATCTCCTGAGTGACCTTGCTCAAGAGGACCTGACGGAGATTTGAATGTTTGACTCCCATTCAAAAAAGTAGGGTGTTTTAAGTCTTTTCGGACGTAGCTACTTCCTCCACCACCACGTCCAACGTCAACACCACCACCACCGCCATAGTAACCAGCTCCCCCACCCCCAGAAGAGGCTCCCCAGCAGTCTTTAGCATCACCCCCCTGCAAAAAAGCTCCTTTAGAAGATTCACATTTAGCACTCCCTGAAAAATAGCTTTTGTGGCCACCTTGAGTTTGATCTCCCCCTCCTGCATGATATAAATTAAAGTCTAGATCCTGACCTTCTTGGCCAACATAACCGCCGTAACCGCCAGGATTCTCATATTGATACATCCCTGATCCACCTCCGGATCCAGAAGCAATAAGGACATCAGAAATATTATCATTAACACTTATGAATGTGGATCCACCACCAGTACACGATTTGTATCCATCATTTCCGATATCATTTTTTCCTGCCTTCCAAAAATTCGAGGTCAACCTTTTGGTACTACATTGGCCGTGGGAACCAACATATATGTTCAGTTTTGTTTGTCGCTTTACATGAAAAATTGCCTCGGTGTATGCGCCAAGCCCTCCTTTTTTGTTTGAGATATATCCACCTTGGGCTCCCCATACACGGATGAGATATGTAGCTGGGCTTAAGAATAGATATTGTGCAGCACCTGTGCATTTAAATTGATAAATGATAGATCATCATATTTTAAGATTATGACAAAAAATCCCTTTTTTGATAAAAATTGAGAAAGAAAAATTTGTATTCGGATCAGAATTCTATTGATGTATGAATACAAATATTGATCCGATAAATTTAATAATCATTAATGTGTAATTAAACGTGTATGGCATAGTCTTAAATAACAAGTTTAAGGTTAATGTAATCAAATACAATAATAATATCACTTTACGCACTCATCATTTTTTCCCTGCTCATCATTATCTATTGCTGACAATATAAATATCTAATATAATAGTATTACTATTACCATGGAAACTTTCAGCAAAAACTCATAAATTTTGGTTCTCGGAGTGACATTGAGTTACATATTATTGGAGTTGAAAAAATTGAGAGGATGTCAAGTGGTTGTAAGTGAATTTATTAAAACCAAGTTTTGGTAATTGAAAGTAAAATAAACATTTGTTTTTAAGAAAAAAACTAAAATATAAAAAACAAAAAAATCCTAAGTAAATATTACATCTTCAGAATCCGAAGAAAGTACTAAACTACTTGAAGATTCGTCATCATCCTCTTCTTGACTTGGAGGAACAATTGGAGGCACAATAACAGTAGGAATCTGGGAATTCACACTACTTTGCTGAGGCATGAAAGACATTGCGGTTTTCTTTATCGATTCCATGTCAGAGTAATCAGAAATTTCAGATGATTCTTCTTCATCATTTTCATAAACATTCGAAGAATCAATTGGAGGAGGTTCGAACACAAAGTTCTGAGAGTCATTTCCTTTCTGTGATTTGAGGTGGAATGTTTCTTCTTCCTGTGGAATTTCTTCTTCATTTTGATTTTCACTTTTTACTGTGAAATCTGGTTCATAACTTTCTTTTTCATTTTCAGTCAAATCAGGCAATTTCGTGTTAATTAAGAATTTATTCATTCCTTCAATGATACCTTCAGGAAACTCTGTGTCAAACATATCCAAAATTGGCAATAATTTCTTATCAATTGTATTAAATTCCGTCAATTTCCAACCTCCAATTACTTTTCTCTTTTTCATGGAAAACTTTGGAGTTTTTGATGAAATATCCAAATCAAGTTTCGTGTCTGGATACAAAGAAATCAAATTATACAATGCTTTTGTTGCAATTCTTGTCAAATCTTTGTTTCCGTTCAGCGGCAAATTGAACAAATAAAAAGAAATATCTTTGACGGCATTTTCTGACAATTTCGGTTTTCCTTTTTCAATTGAATGACAGAGAAACTCTGCAGACACGAATTCCATGTACAAATCATTAGCATTAAACGCAGTCACTAAATTCAAAGAATAATAAACAATGAAGTTTGTTTTGTCAGGATATTGAGAAATCATCATTTCTATATATTCTTTCGCTGTTTTCATATCATTCTGGAATACTTTGATATCGCATTGGCCTTGAACACTTAAGTAATACCGCGTAGCATCAATTAATCTGCCAAATAACGAACAATAACCGTCATCTCCCAAAATTTCTGACAAACAAAGTAAAAAGTGACAGGAAACAACAACAGATTCATCATTAAAAGAATCACTTTCAACAATGAAAGGAAGGATTAAAGAACAAATATATTCTTCACCACCAAATTTTTCAATGAACATTGAAATCTGTTCTTTTATTGATATTTTTCTCTCAACAACTTTTGAAATCAATTTAATTCCTGTTTTAACTGTATTAACTAAAAACGACTTCTTCAAATCACAACTTAATATACAAATTAAAGTACATAATACCGCAACAACTTCTTTTTCAAATAAATCTGTCTGTAAATCACTGTTTGTCAGTCTTTCTGACAAAACATCAATTATTGGATCCAACATCTCAAATCTTTTTTCATTCAAACAATACAAAGCATAAATCAACAAAAGAAAAAAAGTTCTTGTATTCAATAACTCTGATAAGGCCATCATCATAACCATCGGTTCCATTGATCTGTCACTTTTTGCTGATCTGACAGCGTTTGCGAAAACGATTTCGAAAATTTCTTCTGGAAATTTTGGCAAAATTTGTTTCATCAGAATTGCTATCGTCAAAACCGCCGTGTGATCGTAACATAGCATTTGTTTCACAGGGTTACTGAGTATCAATGTGTTTTGTTCGACCAAAGATGCGGCACTTTTCATCAAATTGTTCTTTTGCAAGTTCGTAATGTTCTCTGTGAAGTTACTCGATCCTAATCGTAAAAGAGACACATCAATGATTGCATCTAACAAGGGATAGAAACCATCTAATACTAAATTTTCTGTATGGTACTCAATTATGGCAAAAAATGTCAAACTTGTCAAATTTGACAAAATAAACTTTTCAAAAATTTCTTGGTTATCTAATTGTAACAAAATTTCTGACATCGTATTACTTGCAACAACTTCTTTGGTGGTGATATCAAATTTTACATCACTTTTCTGTATGTAATTCCTAAATTCTTCGAAAGATTTCGGACTTTTTCTTTCGTATTTCGAGAGAACAGGAATTAAAACATCAGAAACGTCCTTTGGCTTGACAATGAAGACATCAGCAAGGACGTGGCAGCTCGCAACAACTTCTGGTGAGTTCTGAGGGAAGTTAAGAGCGTATTGAAAAACTTGTCGGGCCAGATAATACTCATTTGATACCAAGAAGTAGTCGTTCCAGAGTTTCTTCATTGCAGTTGCGATGCTTGATGAATCCTGCCTAACTTTCGTTGTCATGTTAAGCAGATTGATCAGTGTTCCCGAGTCATGAGCCATTCTCTTAACTAATGGAGTCATGTTAGGGATGATTCGCTCCTGCTGCTCCTCGAAATATGCGAAATCTTCGGCAATAAGCATGATACAGCCCTTTAAATCAATGTCACTCGCATTTAATGACAAATAATTTATGAAATTCTTCGACTGAAGTACGTATCCTGACGGTGACAAGCTAGTTATCACAATGTCAGACGAGAAACTCTCTGATTTGAAGAATTTCTTCGAATGACACTGATATATTATTTTCAAAACTGCTTGTCTTGAGTGTTCGTCGTCGGAATCTATATGAGAGACAATAGTTGCGAGTATTACTGACCTTCCGCCCGAGTAAATATCATCAAAATTCTCCATACTCAAAATATTCGAAATCGCAACTACGTAATTCGCCGGGTTTTCGGAGTTTAATGAGGCCCTGAACACTTCCCGAAGCATACGGGGGTCGCGCGATACAGTCGAAGTTAATAATGAGATAATTCTCGACTGGATGAGATTTATGTGCTTGTTTTCCTGCGCTAGTGTCGAAAGCCATTTACCAAACGATAGGAATGAATCTGTCCTTTCTAAGGTAGATTTCGATAAAAGCGTAGATAAACAGTCCAACATCGCTACGATCGTTGTTTCTGTGGCTCCCTTGGATTTGTTCAGTAGATACGATATGAAATTGTCAAGATGGCCTTCGTGGAGACACATTAAAGCACGAGATCCACCTAATGCGTACTGATTGAGGAAATTGAAGGCTCTTTCGTCTAATACGGAGTCGTTCTTCTTTTTCTTCGCCCATTTGTGGAGAATAGGAGTCAAAATTTGGGCTAATTCGTAGTTTTCGGATAAAATTTTTGGAAAATTCGGCTGTTGAGAGATTCTGTATAGAACATTGACGAAACTGGGCCAGTGCTCGCTTGTCTGTAGCTGTCCTTTCGTTTTTAGAAGGAATAACCACTGTTGATAAGGAAAATTCGTGAAACAAATGGCGAAAGAAGGGTCATCGGACACCAGCTTCATTACTGATGTTATATAGGCCCTGCTGTAGTCATTTGCTTCGATGGCAAGTGCTAATTTGAACTCTAAACACTTAGGACCACCTTCGTCGGGCATTTGAGTGGGAATTTTATCGTTAAATAATCGTATGGCATATTTCTCACAGGCCTGAACGATTTTGGTGGATTCCAGAGAAATATCTGCGTTTGGATCGCGATTTTTAACGATTTGGGACAAAGTAACAACGTTATTATCACCAATTGCTTCTTTGTCGAGTCTGTGGATGGATTCGTCTGCAAAAACAATTGAACAATTTATTGCATCGTTATTTCCGTTGATTATTAGCTTCAACAACGCTGCATCGAGTGAGACTCTGAAGTCAAGCCATATTTTGGCCTCTTCTGAGTTCTCCGTCAACAAATTTGGCAAATTATTCGAAACTTGCATCGCAGAAGCAAAAGAAGTACCAAATTCCATGAGAATTAGTGGGTTATTGAGGGTTCCCTTTAAGAATGTCACTGCCAAATCAAAGTTTTTCGTTGGAGAAACGCAATATTGGATAAATCTTGAAATTGCGGCCTTTCCTTCCTCTGTATTTATCTTTGTATAGATTATATGGACCATTTCCTTCAACTGGTTCTGATCATTTGGCTTAATCATTGGAAATACGGACAAAATGTAAGGAATTTCGGGTCCGTTTTCATTTAAAAGGGGGATAAAGTATTCGGACAATTTATTTATACTGGTTGTATATGTTTTGAAGCATTTCATCATAGAAAGTGCCTTGAGTGTGAGTAATCTGACGTATTTATGCTCTTCTGCTGGTTTGTCAACACTTAGAATGCCATTCATGAAGTCCAAGTACACATTTAACGACCTATCTCCCACGGATTTGAAGAAATCTACGATCAAATTGTGTTGTTCTTCAAGTTCGAAGCGAATGACACGTTTTTTATCGTTGGAACCAACTATATTCGGTATGAAAACCTCAAAGAAAAGGTCTTTGACGGATTCATCCGAAATTTCTTTCGGAATTGAGTTGAAAAACAGGGAAAGGAGCTCCAGAATGTCCTTATCTCCCTTCTTAACGAGCTTAGCAAGCAGTTGTGCGAAGTTATATGCGTTTTCTTGGTAAAGAAATGGACAAACCGAAATTAAATTGCACAAAAACAGGTAACAGAACACTGTATGCTTTCCTTTCGTAGACCATTTGATAACTACACCCCATATCTCAACAACAAGTGCTTTGAAATCGTCCCTAATGTGATCTTTCGAATCAATAACTAATTTCTTAATGATTCCAAGCAAAGCATCAAGGAATTTCATTCGTAAAACGCCTCTATCGATCTTTTTCGACATAGTTATGAACGTTCTCAGAAACTGTAGCGATAATTCTGCAACTTCTACTGGATGGAATGAAAAATTGAGATTTACGACGCCATCAACCCATGTAGCGAAGTTTCTGAACTCTATTTCCTTCTTGCATGTTCCGAATTGGTTCCAGAAAACTTCACAGATAATTTGGCAAAGTTTTGGAAGAGCGGACATTGCAGCAAGAATTTCGCCTGCTGAGCGTCTGACGGTATTGGGCTCGTTATGATTCATGAATTTAAAGATTCTTTGAATGACATTTTGTTCAAATTCACTGAAATCGTGGTTTGCGCATTTCGCTGCTTTTAAAAAGAACTTGGATAAAAATATGAAAACGGAGCATTCGAAAGTTTGCAAATTTGTGAGATGTTCTTCAGCAATAATTGCATCTGTGTGTAATGCGTTAGGTTTTTTCTCGTTAGGGTCGTCAATCTCGAATATTGAAAACACTGCATGCGTGGTAAACATCATATCGATGAATATTTTTGAGAAAAGTTTGTTTGGATAAATTTGGAAGATAATTGACTGAGTTGACTCAATTTCCATCTTTGCACGCTCCTGATCGTACGATTCGAACATCTGAAATGCCTCTTCGATTGGCAATTTCGTACCTTTTGCCTTTGGAGAATTAATAAAAGAAGGAAGTTGAGATTGTAACTGAGAAGATGACAATCCACTGTTCATCATAACATTGGTGATTAATAATTTTGACCAATCATTGACGTAAATCTTAATGCCATCTTCAAAGTAACTCATTTTCGAAATTAAAAAAAAATTTCAACAAAAAAACCTTCCTTCAGCTCATTCTAGATTATATATGTCTTTAGTCGATATTTATATTGTTTGGAAATGATTTCATAAAATATTTTCAATAAAAACAAGGAAACACCACTCGACGTCGCTCTTATATTAGTTGAGAATATTAACCGTGCTTCTCAGTAAAATCTTTATATCAATTTTTTATATAAATCTTGTATGATAAGTAATACCTCAATTTTTTACTTTTGCAACTCAAAACGGATAATTTTTTTCAAATTATAGAACTATTTGAAATACAATAGAGACCAACACTGATATGGAAGTATAGGATATCAAAGAACCTTTATAATGGTAATACTATGATGAACAAATGCTAAAATCTGACTCGGTTATAATCAAATTTTTGATCTCAGGGAAATTGAAAAAGTAAAAATTTGAATAAACTTTCTAAAAAAGTTTATTTGCATAGAATGTATGAGAAGACTCTTTATTTTGCCTTGTTTGAAATAAGAATTTCTTCAGTTTCTCCGTTATTATAACGCCTTGCTAGACTAAGAATAACGGGGTATAAAAATTTTGTTTTTAGCATAAATATCTGCACTATTTAAAATAAGAAATTCTGCCATTTCTTTGCTATTAAAACTGGTTGCATAATGAAGAGGGGTCCATCCATCTATGTCTTTAGCATTGATATCTGCACCCTTTGAATTAAGAATTTCTGCCATTTCTTTTTTATTATTCCTGACTGTATAATGAAGAGGGGTAGATCTATATCTGTCTTTAGAATTGATATCTGCACCATTCGAAATAAAATATTCTGAAAGTGATGAAAGATAGAAATTCGAAGAATAAACAAAACATGTGTTGATGTCATGTGTTTGATCCAAATAAATTAAAAATGATTGAAGATTATTGTATTTAGAGCATAATTCTAAATCAATTTCTATGTTGTGTTCATTCATCAAAAATGTAACAAAATCAATATTGTGCGATATAATTGCATATTTCATGCATTTATTATCTGGTTTTTGTACTTTCAAGCATTCATTCATAATGTCATTTTTGCGACTATTTTTCACAACTTTATTTCACAAGAAAATAATCTTTTTCCCCCCAAATCATTAAAATGCAATGAAAATCATATGCATAAAGCAGGAATAAATGTTTGATAAACTGATAAATTCACAGCCGATGGAAAGATATTGGGTTATGAGTAGTTATCCCTATTTTGTAGAAATTCTCGAATTTGTATTTTGTAGTTAATTATAAGGTAATTTCGAGATAATAAGTTAAAATTTATGCCCAAAACGAATATATTCATATTTAAGATCTTTAAGCAACATAAATATTGTAAATATCATATTTACAACTTTTTTTTTGACATTAAATTTTTTTGAATTGAATTTTTAAAAGGAATAAATGGCTTTTGTTTGCCTTATTGTAAAAGCATCTACATCAATTTTAACACCAAGTAATATATCAGCTGATTCATTCGAAGATATATTTGAAGGAATTGTCGAAAGATTCAAAAATCATAATTTCGTCAGCGGCGCAGTCTCAGTCAATTATAATGGAAAGAACATATTTGAAAGCATCAAAGGTTTTTCTGACATCTCTAAACAAACTAAAGCAAATCGAGAAACCCTATACCATTGGTCATCTATTAGCTCAGTTTTGGCACATGTGTCAATTATGCAACTATATGAGGAAGGCAAGCTCAATCTAACTGATGATATCAAGAAATACTTAGGAAAAAAATTTTTCAAACGACTTTCATACAATGATACTATTAGAATCATCAATCTAATGAACCATGATACAGGCTGGGATGAGACTGCAGAAAAATCAATTGTTCATGGAAATAAAATTAAAGTAAACCTAGAAAATGTCATCAGAAAAAACGAACCTCAACAATTTTGTCGACCAGGAACATTCGTGTCATTTTCTGATTATGGAGTTGCAGTTGAAGGTCTTATCGTTGAGAAAGTTTCTAAGATGAAGTATTGGAAATATGTTCGTATGAACATACTCAAAAGGCTGGGTATGAATATGACTTCTGTTGATCCTCAAAGGAATGATATCTCCGAAGATATGCTCAGAAACATGGCAAAACCATATGCTCTTCAAAATGAAGATATGAGAATCATTGAGACAGAGATCTTTTCGAACCAATTTTATCCATCTGGATCAGTTATATCAACAATATCTGACATGTCCAAATTTGTTGACTCATTGATCTGGAAGGAAGGGACAAATAACATTTTTAAGAATAAGGAAACATATATTGAGTTTTACAATATATCGAAAGAATCGGCTAGAATATCTCATGGATTGTTCCAACAAATCTATTCAGACAAGATAATTGGATATGACCATCAAGGAAAAACAATTGGATATACAGCATTCATGTCAATACTTCCAGATCAGGGCTTTAGTTACGTCGGAGTTTCTAATATCCAAGATGATTTCGTTATTTCCAGAGCATTCCATCGTAAGCTCTGGGGAATCTACGTACCAAAGACTGATATAAACATATCATCAAATCTATCTGGTAAATATCGGCCTACAGCAATTGTTCATCGAGGATTTTTCATGAGACATGACTTAGATAAAATATATTCTCTCGATGTTTTAGAACGTAACAATCAATTCTCTTTTCGTGGGGAAATATATAGCATTTCTGAATTTAATCTATTCACAAACAATGCATCATCAAATGGTTCATATATTGGAAAATATCAAATCAGATTCATAAAAGATTCTAATCTTACTATCATTGGATTATGCAATTTCGATGAATGTTATGAAAAAGTCAATGAAATCAATAAATATGAAATACCACTAGTGATATATATTTTTGAAATATTTATCATAACAACATCTTGGATATTCTTCATTGGGGAATTAAATCATAGAACAAACACATGCTTTTGCTTCAAGCAAATAATTATAATGTTAATGATACTTCTCATTTGCACTTTATCATTCATAACAAACATAAATCTTTTGAAAAATAGAATATGTATCAGAACAACTGCCATGAATGTTATTTATATATTAATATTTATAATATGCTGCGAAGTTATATTATCATTAGTTTATTTTTCATTATTCATTATCGATTTCACTAAAGTAGCGGATCCTAAATACAAGTCTCCAATAGGTTCTTTAATTGATTTCATAATGTTTTCCATCGATTATGATCCTAATGATAATGTTGATATTTTTGATAAGGACGAAGATTTATGCAGTGAAGATTTATGTGAAATTGATATCTTGATTTTTTTATCTTGCATTTTCTGCATATTTTATCATGTTAGAATGCTAATTGTAAATGAAGCAATATATTTATAACTTTTATTGCCATAGCACGTCTTATAAAATTTTTATGTTATAGAAAACTTTTATTCATTAATTAATCTCAAACTGAAGATATGAATGCTTAGACTTAAATTGTTGATATTGTAAGAACCAAGCATTTAAAATAACCAAACTATTAACTTTTCGCTAAAATTTAGAAATTCAAACTTGGAAATTGAGTCATTTGATAGTAATAATATGTTTTTACTACATAAGTAGATTTCTTTATAGAAAAAACTCCGTTAGCCGCGAGTTCATAAATCAGTTTCTTCTCTAATAGCTCAAACTGAAAAACTAGTCCACTTTCGACTGAGAAAAAAATTGACATTGATAATTGAATTTAAATGTTTTTGCTTAACTTATATATATTCACTACATTCCTTAGTTCATTACTTGTATATGAACATTTAATTTGATTCCAATATTAAAGAATATTATATGATAAGATAAATTCTGAAATGTTACTTCAATAGTTAGAAATACATTTTTTAATAAATATCTCTTTTTTTTAATAGGGAAGTCCATGGACGATTGGAGCGTCTGGGGACTAGATCGCTGTCCATGGACTTGATTCTTGTCCATGGATAAGGCAATTATAACAGACAACAACGCATGATGGACAATGTATTAAATGTATTTTTATATATATAAGTAAATATGGATAAACTTCTCTTAAATATGCAATATATATATATATAAGTAAATTTTGAATAAACTCCTCTTAAATATGCAATATATATATAAGTAAATATGGATAAACTCCTCTTAAATATGCAATATATATATATAAGTAAATTTTGAATAAACTCCTCTTAAATATGCAATATATATATAAGTAAATATGGATAAACTCCTCTTAAATATGCAATATATATATAAGTAAATATGGATAAACTCCTCTTAAATATGCAATATATATAAGTAAATATGGATAAACTCCTCTTAAATATGCAATATATATATAAGTAAATATGGATAAACTCCTCTTAAATATGCAATATATATATAAGTAAATATGGATAAACTCCTCTTAAATATGCAATATATATATAACGTATGAAACACAAGCTCATCTTTTGTATATAGATATATATTGGTTAACATAATTTATTGACATTTTTATCAATATACCCTTAAATAATATATATAATTAAACATATAAAAATAGTATATATATGGAGATATTCCTATTATTTATGCAATATTTATATATAAATTCTTATTAAAAATTATATTTTAAAAATTTAAAAGGATATACTTCTATTGATTGTGCATTATAAATTGGGGTATTATTATTGTCGTCTGGCGGTTTTAGACGACAATGCGAATTTTCAAATAATAGGATTTTTAGCCAGATAAAGAGCTACTCCATATATCATGCGTGTTTGCATACTATATACATAGATGGAATTGATGTTCTTCCTTTATTTAGGTACCGAAACATGCTTGAAAAATCTATTTTTAGACGACAATGATAATTTTGTCACTTTTCCAGACGACAATAAAACATCCTCTTATAAATTTATTTGATCAAAAATTTCTTAATTTCAAATATTAATATTTTTTCACGGACAATGACATTTTATAAGGAATTGGCCACATCCATGGACAGGTATCATTTACATGGACAAGGAGCTTTACATGGACTTGATTCATATCCATGGACAAGGAGCTTTACATGGCCTTGATTCATATCCATGGACATGTTGTTGTCCATGGAAACGAATCAAGTCCATGGACATGTTGTTGTCCATGGAAACGAATCAAGTCCATGGACAGCGATCTAGTCCCCGGACGCTCCAATCGTCCATGGACTTCCCTAATATTTATCATTATTCAGTGCAATTCTCTTTCCTTTCATAATTATCATTGTTTTATGGCATTCTCTTTCTTTTCATATTTATAATTGTTCAATGAAGTTCTCTCGATATTAATGATTGCCCACATAGTATTGCAATCAAAGCTAATTCAATGGAAATTGTGAAATTCTTAGTTGAACATGGGTGCTAAGAATAGAAAATATTTTTTCCCTATAAATATATTGAAACAAGATATAGTAATTTAAGAATAAACATTTTCTTTCTTTAATTGAATTTTCCATACAGTATACAAACTTTTTAAATATATATAAAAAATAAAATATTATATCAAAAGTTAATTGAGTTTTCTTTGGACATCTTTGCTGATTTCAGATCAGATTCCATGCTCTTGATAACTTTGTAGACGCAAGGAACAGTAAGTCCGAAGAGTTGAGATCCAGAGAATTTTGTTTTTCTCGGATCAATTCCCTCAGATCTGCAGATTTTGTCGATTGCCTTACTCCATGCATCACTTGGAGAAACTCCTCTTGAAAGGACTTTTTCTCCATTCTTTCCTAACAAAGTAACAACAAATATCGGACCTTCAGTGATTTCACTTCTGAAGTTCTGAGAACATCTTTTGCTTCCTGTGACTCTGAACTTCCTTTCGCTGCGAAATCCAACAGGATAAGGTGTCAATCTTCCACTGTATCCCTCTCCATCATATATCTGTCCGAAATTCTCAATTGTCAATGAATCTCCTGCAGAAAATGGACAACTTGGATAATTATCGTCACTTTTCGGATTTTCGCCGATACAAAAAGTGTCACAAATTTTACTGGCAAAAGAAATACGACTTTTATCGTCCATATCATACAAAAACGATAAAGGCGATGGTTTGGACGGTTTGACAACATGACATAATTCATCTTCCATTTTTGCATCATTTTGCAAAGATTTTATGATCTTTGACGGAATAATTCCCAAAAAAGGAGATGATGCATCAATTAAGAAAAGTGACAATCTCGTTATTCCAAATTTTGACATTCCAGAAATGAAACATTTTGAGTGATTTGAGTTCCACCAGTCAGGTAATGTATTGTTTTGAGAGAAATATCCTTCTCTGTTGATTATTTTTGCATTTGTTTCATGTATTTTTGTGAAATTATCAATGATTTCTTTACTTTCATCGATATTTGATGTGACAGATTTAAGAGATTCGTCTTTCTTCTCTATTTTATCATATATTTCTTCTGTCAGATTTTTGTTCGTTTCGTCATATTCAATTCCAATTTTTTCACAAAAACTTTTGAGATCCAATTCATTTTCTGTCTTTGAAATTCCATACATCAACAAAGAATCGAAAATAACTTTAAATCTCCTTTGATCCATGATTTGCTGCGTGAAATTCTTCTCTAGCCATTCTTTTGGTTCTAAGTATTCGATGTCTTTATTACTATAACCGATTTTCTCACAAATTTTGAGAATTTTCGGTTTCAAATCACTTCTTTTTGGCAAATTTTTCTTTTTTACCAAATATATTTCATCATTTATTGCTTTTTGCAAGTTATTCCATCCGTTTCTTGCGAGACAAAGCATTATGGAATACTCTTCTTCAGGTTCTCCAATGGAAGGAATAATTATTGGCCAGTCATTTTTGTCTTGAATGAAATTCAATGCCATATTCAATTTTCTGAAGAACAGAAATCCTTCGACGATCAATTCATGTTTTCTGGTAATTCTCGCATCAGCAGGATTTAATCCGTAAATCTCTTCTTCTGGGATTTCTCCAATGATCTCGCAAACTAATTCTTTGTCACTATCAGTAAATGACTTGTAACAACTAGCTGCACGACTCAATACTTGGAATTCCCCTTCTTTACCTTGAAAGCCCCTGTCAATAATTGAATCAACGGCAGAATTAAGTGTCAAATCGTTAATTTTTGTGTCATTTGACATAAATTTACAATGTCTATCGTAATCTGACTGTGAAATTACTTTTTCTGATTCATCATGCGGCAAAACTTTCTGCCAGAAATCGGCAGCATCCATTTTAGGTCCATTGTCATCAACTTCGAATGTTGCTTTGGAAAAAACAGAATCAGAAGTCAAATTTAGTTTGTTTTGGATTTTTGAAGGTCTAGAAAGAATTTGGTCGATATCTGATTCGCAGAATTTATCAACTTCTTTGTCATCACTTCCAAATATGTCATTGATTCCTGTTCTCAGCATTTCTTCAATTTCTTTTGCAGACAATTTGTCAGAATTCGAATTCAAACCATCGAAAATTACGTGTTCCAAAAACATCTTTTTACAAGACACTTCGACCATTTTAGATTCATAAGTATTTCTTGTAACCAATCTATAAACTTTCACTTCCTTTGTCTGGCCAATTCTGTGGCATCTCGCTTCAGCTTGCAAATCATTCTGTGGATTCCAATCAGAATCAAACAAAATAACAGTACTCGCTGTTGTTAAATTAATTCCAACACCTCCTGCTTTTGTAGAGATCAAGAAAACAAAACTATTCGCATTGTCTTTGAATCTGTCAATGGCGGTTTGACGATCAGACGGTTTGACAGATCCATCCAATCTTTCGTAATTAAACGATATATATCTTAAATAATCTTCAAGAATATCTAAGATATGTGTCCATTGTGAGAAGATTAACACTTTCTCGTTTTTCTGCTTCAATTTCGGCAATAACTTATCAATCAATATCAATTTTCCACTGCAATTAATCATGGCTTCAATTTCAATATCACTTTTTGTCAGATTTTTGTCACTTTTTATTGAATTTTTGTCAAATTTATTTTGAAATTCCTCCAAAATAGAATCTTCGGCACCTTTGATTAGATAAGGGTGATTACATACTTTCCTTAGTTCTGTTGCAAGAGAATTCAAACTTGGGATAGAATTTTTTGTCAATTTTTTCATCAAAACTTCTCTATTTTCAGAAATCAAAGCTTTGTAAATTTTCTTTTGTTGTCTTGTTAATTCTACATCAATTATTGTTTCTGTCTTAGGAAGAATAGAATTATCAACATCACTTTTATGTCTTCTTAATATATACGGCTTAATTAATTTCTTTAATTCATCAACTTGTTCAGAATTTGTCATGTTTCCAAATTTTTCATCGAATTCTTCACTGGAATTAAAATTCTCTTTGTCAATGAACGACAACAAACTGTACAACTCATCAACATTGTTCTGTATCGGTGTACCTGTCAATAACGTGCAATGTACAAAATTGAATAGTTGTAAAGTTTTGTAAAGTAAAGAATTTCGATTTTTTAAACGATGACCTTCATCAACAACCAAATACTGCCAATCAATTTCCTGGAGTTCTTTACTTTGGTTTACAACTGTGTCATAATTTGTGATTAAAACATCGAAACCAACGAAACCCTTTAGAGACTTTCCTTTGTCGTCTTTCACTCTGATCTCTGTATCATTGATGATTTGGAGTGATTCTGGAGAGCCATGGTAAATAATCGAATTCAGATTTGACCATTTCTTGAATTCTGACTGCCAATGAGGTAATGTTGAGAGAGGAGCAATGATAAGGAATGGTCCATTGATGTTTTCGTCTTTGGAAAGAATATTAAGTGTTGATACAATCTGTGCGGTCTTTCCAAGGCCCATTTCATCGCCAAGAATCGAATTCCGCTTGTTGTAGTAACAAAATCTGAGCCAATTCACGCCGATAACTTGGTAATCACGTAATGAAAATTTATCTTTGGATTCTGGATATGTTTTGTACTCTTTGTAGTTGGTATTAGGTGGGCGCTTCCATCTGGAAGGTATTTTGGAGTGATTCGATTTGTTGATTCGCTCATGATATTCTGCAATTTCTTTATCACACTGTACGTCTTCGATTTTCTCCCACGTGGACTCGTCGTAGCCTAGTGATTGCCATTTGACACGTACTAATGAGGCTCCTTTTGAGGTTGTCCTTTCTCCGATGATTCTATCGACTAAAAAATAGTCTGCTTGTGGATCTTTGTCTTCAAAGGCAAGTAGATCGGATACACCATCACTCTTGACGAGATCCATTCGCTGTAAACGCTGATTAAACCTTGATAAAGCATTTTTGCCTGGAATTGAGACAGATAGGTCAAGACTGGTCAAGTATTTGCAGTGTATGTATGATAAGCCTTGGAACTTGACATAGTATTGCGTTTCTTCTGTTTCAGGTAAGTTTTTCTTGCCTAATATTGTCTGAGGAATTAGCTCTTTTGTCTCTTCTTCCTCTGTAATTTCGTCGTCATCTGTTGTTGATCCGTCAATGAAATCGCTTTCAGACAAAGAATCACTGGAATTCGACTCTTCGTAAGAAATTACGTGTTTGGAATGGCGCTTTGACTTTGGAGGTGAATAATATGAGGGATCAAACTCATCATCATCGTCTCCATAGTAGTTTGACCGCTTACTTCTCCTACGAGACATCTAAAAATAATGATTTTGATTGGTCACTAAAAAAATTTTTTTTATTCATTCAAAATTCCCAAAGGAAGTTCCTCGTTACCGTAAAAAGTGACATTAATAAACTGAACTCCATTTCACTTCTTATGAACTTATCAATATAATACATATTCACACAACAAATAAAATAATTTTGAAATAAGTTCAGAAAGAATAAAGGTTTTGAGATCATTTCGATAATTTGTAATGTTTTAATTATGAAACAATATGCTCATATGTTTTAGAAAATGAGAAAATTTTTTGTGAGGATTTTGACATTCAAAAGTGACATTTAAGATTTATCATCAATGTTTCAAGTTTTTATTGATTGTGTGGACTGAATATCTGTGGTATAATGATGGAATTCGGTTACTGTTTAGATATAGAAATGATGATTCCAGTATTAGTTGTCTTCATGAGCATTTCAAAAGTTTTAAAATTCTTAACATTTTACATCAGTACATTGTTGAAGAAAACTTTGTGTATATTTTTCATATCAAGTCCGATAATCCTCCTGTTGATCCATGGATCGAATTCTATGGGGAACCTGTTCCGAATAAAGAAAAAATCGAAAATAATCAACAAATCACTGATTTCCCAAATCAATACTATTTGAGTGAATCTTCTTTTTTTAATATGACTAACGGTGTGATTGAAGTGATTAATAAAGATGGCATTAAATTCCTTCATTCTGATTGTTATTTTATAAAAATTTCTAAAGACGGTTGGGGTCCCTGTTTGAAGTTTATTGGTGGCAGTAAAGTTATTCAAAATCGATTCTGTTCAATAAACTCTGTAACCACTGATAAATATTCGTATGCCCATCATTCATTTATTAACTCTATGTATAATGGCTGGAATCAAAATTCTATATACGAGAGCACTATTTATAAATGTGGGAAAGAGGAATTCGGTTATTCAATAATAAGCCTTGGTTATGGAATTGATGTCGTATCAAAAGCAAATATAACTTATAATAAATGCATAAGCGATTGCGCATATAATTTGGGATGTAATGAAATATCTGTTAATTATTGCTGTATTATTTCAAATAATGCAAGCGAAAGTTCCATAATGTTTCATACAGGCTATGGAGAAGCTGAAGTATCGAAGTGTATTGTTAATAAAAACTCGGATTCAAAACGCGAGTATGGTTTGATTGTATCATATGCTGATACAAAAACATAAACAAAAGATTGCATATTAAAAGATAATATTGTTTTTAGCTATTTTCACTGCGAAACGATTAATGGAAAAGCCCAATTAACAGTTATTAACTGCACATCGGATTTAAAAACTGTATCTGGACCTGTTGACACAGCCAAAATGACAACGCAGCAGTTTCAGCTTAATCTATATAATCCAGAAATGGAGAACTGTTATATTCTTGATCAAATCCAAGATATGATTGATTATAATCATATTTCTTTGTTTTTATCTTTAAATCGAAGAAGTAGATTTCGTCGTTTTCTCTTTTCGATGTTATGATAAATTTCTTCTTTGTATAAGTATCATTTTTACCTTTCGAATGAGAACTTGGAAATATCAGTTGAACGCATTGTCTAATATACTGCTGTTTAAAGTATGAACTGACACTAGATTTGAGAAATTTGAGAAATTGTGTTTAATTATTAGGAATTCTCAATTTCATGGACAATTTACATGCCTCAATTGTGTGTTGATACTGTATTAAATCAAATCAATCTTTGGTAAATAAGAAAATTTAGCGACCTTCTTTATGCTATCGAATAAATAATAAAATAAAAAGATATTTAGAATATAACAATAATAAAATAAAATAAAAATTTTTATGTATCATAGTTTTCGCAAAAAGCTGCTGCATATTCAGTAGATTTTGCGTAAATATCTTCAAGAGCTGTCTTTTTCTCAGTATTAATTGGTGAAACTTTGAAATTGTTCAACGAATCCAAAATTTTCTGTTCTGTACTATACAACTTCGAAATGTTTTCCAAAGTTCTTTCGACAGATGCGTTGTATTCAACTACATCTTTACTTGCTCTGAACTTCAATGAGTTCAAAGTGTGTGTTGCCATCTTAAACAAGTCATCATCAACCTTAGGAATCTTCGCAGCAGCATCCATAGCCATATCCAATTTCGATTTATCAGAAATTGATTTTCCGTCATTGAAAACTTCGTAAACCAAATTTGACTTCAAAAATTCTCCTTTGACACAATTGTGGCCGTAAGAATTCACTACATCAACGAAAGCTCTCGAATTCTCTTTCGTCATTGGATGGAAGAATGTTGTAGCCGCACACCAGATGAACAACTCATTAAACTGTCCAACAGTCGATGCAAAAGCAAAAATGTTATTTGCAAACATCAAAACAGGATCCATTTCTGATTCTGTCTTATTATTTGCCATCAAATAGAAAATGTGTCTTAAATCCGAAATTGATTTCACAACCTGCGAAAGGAATATGATTATCTTATTCATCTTTTCTTCATTCGAAGACAAAGCCAACATAACTAAATTACTAAACCAATCTCCTTCTGTTTGGATATTAAATGGTTCGACTTTTTTCGTGATTTCGTCGATATTTCCGAAATCCAAACAAATCAAGAAAATCGAAATGTTCTGTTCATTTTCCAAGTTATTCATGAGATACTTATATATCTCTGTTTGTATTTGATTCTGATTATTCTCAGAAAATCTCTTCAAAAGTGTTGGAATGAAAGAATGGAAAGCAGCACCGAAAATGGAAGATAAAGCAAGAATTGTTTCTCCAAATATTTCGATGTTTTCGCGGTTGTTGTCTTTATCCTGCAAAAACTTATCGAACAAATCAAAATTAATAATATTTGGAAAATTCTTGAGTTTCTTTCCAATAATTCTCGAGATATAAATGAAAGCTTTTGCTCTTTTTCCGCTTGAATTATAGATAATTGCGGCCAATGTTTGAGCACTTCTTTCTGTTATATCATGAAGAGCGAGTCTTGAAATGAACTCATAAATATTTTCTTTGCAAACATCATCAATTGACGAGAAAACAGAAGCCAAAATAGAAATAGTATGGAAGAAAATGTCATCAGACATAGAATCAGAGATATTTGTAACTAAAACAGTTGCCCAATGTTTCGAAACATCTTTCAAACAATCTTTCCATATGAAAGGATTAATCAACAAGAAAAGCAATGGTTTGAAATATTGACCTCTTCTTAAATGAGGTGAAACTAACAAAAACAAATTATAATACAAACAAAAATCGTGTTTTTGTCCTTTGAGAGTTTTGAGGATATCGAAATTATCCGAAGTAAATATCGAGCTTCTTTCGAAGATGAATCTCGCTATAGAGTATATTTTGTTTGTTATCAAATACTCGGCGTTTTTCTTCGAACACAAACAATCAATGAAATTATTGTTTTTAATGAAATCACTCAACTCTTTCGATGCAATTAATCCATCATTATTATCAATTATCATGTGGAATCTAGCTGTAGTGAAAGAACAATCCCTAGGAATAAGACTTGGATTGTAATAGAAATATTCAAATTCTTGAGATGTCACTTTTCTTGAAAAAAGTGACACCGGACCAATTAAACCTGCAATATTTGTTAATTCTGTTGAACCGATAACTATTGAAGGTTTTGGATTCATTTTAATGGAATCGAAATCCTTTGTATGTCTTTCCTGCATTGTTGAACTTGCAGCAATCATTGTGTCAACGCTTGCCCTGCTTTCATTAGTTATATTCATGCAAATCAAAGTCCATTTTTGGTCATTGGAATCGAAAGGACGCGTAAATTCTGCGATATCAACTCTACTTGTTCTAAATTTGTTGTATGATTCAACAGTCAAGAATATCCTTGATGCTTCCATTCTTAACATCAAAGAGAACTTGTTTGTCACTCTATCATCAATTGTTATAATATATTTCTCGAAAGCTTCAGAAGATTTAATAATATGTCTATCAATATGGATCCAAAACAAAATTGCAAATCCATTGGAAATAACTGAATTATCAATTTTAGATGATAATTGATGAGTTCTTCCAATGAATAAAGGACACTGCATGAATGTAGCGTTATTAAACACAATGTTCTCTATCATTGGCATTAGTTTCGGTACACTCAACGCGTAAGAAAGAACTTCTCTTGTTGTTGAAGTTGAAATGATTTTTGACAACAATTTAATGCAAAATTCTTCATCCAAATCAATCAACAATTTGTAGTTTCCGTAGATCGGACCATTTCCATCCAAATAAGAAACCAACATAGAATCAATCCTTGACTCCTGCATGTTCACAACATTTTGTGTTTCCGAAGTAGATTTCATCAACAATTCCTGAGTTTCTGGTGAATTATCAGCCAATATCAAAACAATGAAAGTTGGTCGATGCAAAGCCAGCATTGGACCAACAAAAGATTCCATAGTATTCAATGTCAACACTTTCGTATAGATGTGTTTTCTGTTTACACATCTTATTGCTCTTATCATAATATCCGCCAGTTTTGGAGATAATTTGTAATCAATAGATGTTGTATGTAAAATATCAATTACATCTGAAACTATTTCAACATCGCAAAATGTATCTAAAGTCTGGATGATGTGATCAATCAAAGGATTGATTAATACTTTAGATTTCGTTGTTCTCAAATAAGAAGAGAAATGATGTATCAAACACTTTGAAAACTCTTGATTTTCATCCATTGCTTTTCCTATTAATAAAACAGATTCTTCATTTAAATGTGGATAAGCATTAATAATAGACAATGATGCGAAATTAATCAATGATTGTTCATAAGCAATTTCAATCAACAAAGGTAATAATTTCGCATTTCCTGTCTTAGATAATTCGAAAATGTCATATAAAATCAAAGATCTAGCAATAAGTAACTGTCTGTTTGTTGGATTTTGGAGCTGAGCATTGGATATCAATCTGTACAAGATACTTAAATGTTCACAAAGTTGTGTATTGACATATGTCCTGAACCTCTTCGGATCAATGATGATGATTCTCGTCATAACATCAACAAAAACTAAAAAATTAGTGTTGATGTTAATGATCGCCATGATGCTTTCATAGTTTTCCTTGGCGAATAAATGGATTGCGTATGTCCTCATCTGTGAAACAAACTTGTTCATCAGAATTGGACCAATGTCGCTTTCGTCCATTTTGAATAAATATGATTTTTTGATTTTGTCCAAAAACATGTTCGTTATGTTGCTATTCATCTTTCCCAGGAACCATAACAGAACAAGAAGTGGAATAATTTCGTCATTTGTATCAAAAAATGATAAAAATTCAAAAATGGTCGTGGAGTCGGTCAATGACATGGACTCTTTAACTGTATTAAGAACATCGATGATTTCGTCTAAAATGGCAAAGATATTATCTGATATATAATATTCAAACGGAAGTGGTAGTATTTCGCCATTGAAATCGCTCTTGAACTTGATGGTTCTCGGTGAAGCATCAATGTGATCGATGTTTACAGTCACAATTGGATCATCAGATTTTGGAGCTTTAGGAATAATGGGACTGATGAGAGATATACTGAGAGACTTCATCAGTAAACTCGTATCTACGCTATGGGTAGTTGAAATGGCCCATAATAACCGTAATGCGAGAATATCGTAGTTTAAAACCCATTTTTCAATGATTTCGACAAGTCTTTGAAGGCTGGAGTTTTCAATTCTGTTGCGCTGAGTAGTTATGAGGTTGATAAGAATTGTAAAAACGACATCTTTAGTTTCATTTTCTTGATGACTGGAAAGGATTGATTTGACAAGAGAAACAAATACATCGAATGACTCGACTGTAAAATGTTTAGATGAAATGAACGTTGATAACGCTGCATCTGCTGTTGCTTTAGCCCATTTTAATTTATCTGCATTAATAACAGTTTGAATTGTATAAATGTAAATATATGTAAATATAGATGCATAAATGCTATGGAATCCTTTGTTTAAAGCTGATATTAAATCAAATAAATTTTCATTTGTCAAAGTTGTTGAAATATTGCAAATAAAACTAAGTGATTGATATAAAATTACCATTTGTTGCGTTAATGATGGCTTCGCGGATGAACTTGTCGAGAAAATGCTTGAAAATTGTTTGACAGCCCGGGGATCATACTTAAAAGAAAAGCGTCCTGCTAAGACATTCTCAATTGAATTGCCTTGACCTATCTCGTTTTCTATTTTGGTGAGTGTTTGTGAATCTATTTTTGGTAATTGACTTCGCAATTCAGCCCACATCTTTTCATCGTCATCATTATCAAGTTTGTCTCGAAGTATGAATATTTTGGTAAGAGACGATTTATTTGAAGCCTTAATATTTGAAAAAATCCCTTGAAGCATTATTTTTTATTTTTTATTGTCGATGCAGAAAAATATTTAATTTTTTTATTGTTCTGCTTTTGATAAAATGATCTTTGGCTTGTATCATACCGAAATCATATTCAAAAGATTCAATTTTTTAGCAATTCCAAATTGATCGCTTATCATTTCTCGATCCTTTTGTATTAAGTATCATGCAATAAGAAACTATCAAGGAGGATAGAATCATATCTAGCCAAGACATATGAAAAAGAGAAAAAAATATGCTTCATATTTGAATAGCAGTCAAAATTATTTTGTTTCATTTGGAAAAAGTTCTGATACACATAAAAATCAACTGTATCATCCGATGTTGAGAAAGAATTAAAAAATTGGATAACAATATCTCATTTTAGACTTACAATGATTGGCTTAATACTTGAAACATTACCACTAGATAATTTATATGATAAATCACTCTCATCAATGGCTATTATACAAATATTGTAAAAAATTTCTTTTACATTAGACTAAATAGCATTTAAATATGATGTTGATTACTAATATAAATATACAAAACATTTACTTAATAAACAATACATGAAATCTAATAAAAAATCATGCATTTTCAAGTTCAGACTCTTTTTCTGATTGAGAAGGAGAGTATTCGTTCAACAAATTAACTCTCCTTGGCTCCTTTCTCTTTTTCATTGGAACATATGACTGGGAAATGTCCATTAATCGATAAAGAGTTGTAGAATCGATTTGGGACTGTGAAGCTGTACTGGAATCCGCAATAAACCGTCTATCAGAACTATTCATTACATCCTCTTCTTCATCCTCGTCGTCATCACTTGAATGTTCTGCTTGAGTTAATTTGAACTGTTTCGCCCTGTAATTGAATTTCTTACGCGGTGGAGATCTAATTGGCTTATTCGGTTTCTGTATAGAAGATGTTGTTTCCGTGGTAGAAGTCGTATAAGAATAATTATCTGAAGAAAGTTCTAATTCAAGAGAATCATCGCTAGAAAAGTTATTCGCTTTGACAGTTTTCGGCTTTTCAGATGATTTGGTCGGAATAATTTGTTTTTTCTCTAAAAAATTTGTAATTGTTGAAGGTTTTTGGAAATTTGAATTCATTTTTGCACAAATTTCAGGTGGTGTAGTATTCTCATCTATGATATTCTGATTTGGAGTTGGTCTAACAGGAGAAGGAATTGCAGATGAAGTAGAACTTGATAGAAAACTAAATGGTTTAGGAGATAAATAATCTGGTGCATCTAGTTCGACATCAGATTCTGATACAAATGATTCTGATTCTGATAAAAAGATATCATTCATCTGTTTTTTATTGGTTTGATCTAATTTATCTGAACTACTATCTGATATGAGGCTAAATGACCAAGAAGTTGAATTCGATGATTCAAAAGCTCCCCGGTTATTAGTGGCTTTAATTTGATTTGTTATAAAAAGTGACAAATTTCCTTAGGATAAGAGAAGTTCCCCTCGAAACAAGAAATGCAAGTTAACAACATTGGAGCATACTCTCTTTTATGAATCGTATATGCAGCTAGAAATATGTCTGTAGATTTTAGTAAAGTTTTCATATAAAAAAATATTTTAGTAATTTCAAGGAAATAACACTTAAATCCCTCATATGGATTTTTAGTTTTAAATAAGAAATGTAATGGCTTTAAACTCATTATCGAATCGAAATTCATTTTCAAACACTCGGACTATGATTTTTGAGAAGATCGTTGTTAACTATTCAGCAACTAAGAGTCAAAGAATCCTTCGGTCTTACTTATATTTGGAAAATAATGATTATAATAAATAATTTTACCTAAATTTCGATTATATTCAGTATCTTTTCTTATTAATGAGTTGAAAACTATTTTGTGTTGGAATGATAGTCATGTACATGATAATTATGAGTTGATGGGCATATTTTACGAATAACATTTCTTACTAATGTTCTTGTGTGTATTATTAAACTCTTCAACATATCATCCATTGAGATGTTCTTTATGTATTTGCAAGTCCGAAATCGAAAAATGGATATTTTAAGGATATTCAGATATTGGTGTATTAAGGGTGCACCCGTATGTACGTTTATTTGAGAGGAGGAGGATTACCCTCTCAATTTTGAGGGATTCGTTAGTTTATTTTCTCGATGAATATGCAATAAAATTTGATTTTTACCTTATCAATATACTTCATATAATATACACATGTTCATGTAAAAACTTTTTTCCAAAATCCTCAGGAATTAAGGGATTTTTGAATTTTAAGAATTTTTTTCGAATTTTTTCGAAAAAAAAAATATTTTCAGAACAGCCTTAACGGCTAAGATTTAGGAACAATGTTAAGTATCAAAAAGAAAGGAGGTCTGATATAGACAACATATATCGTTGAAGGTTGAAAAAATCTCTAATATTTGAGCCCAAAATTTCAAATTTTAATTTTTTGAAAAAAGAGGCCACATATATGTACGTTTATTTGAGAGGAGGAGGATTATATTTTTGAAAGGGTGAAACATTATGAATATGTTAATTATATAATAATGTTGCATGCTAAGATCAGTCATAATGTAAACCTCTCAATTTTATTGTCGTGGGAAGTATCTCAATTCCTTCAAAAAAATTGAAAAACTATTTAATTTTAAAAAATATAATACTTTTAATTAGTTAATTAATTGGAGATATTTTTTAAAAAATCACTTTTGATAATACTTTTGAGAACTTTAATTAAAAAAATATATTCAAAAATATCCAGGATATCAAGAGGGAATTGTTCCTTATGAGGTATATAGTTATGATGTATACCTCATAAGGAACAATTCCCTCCTTAAAACGAGAAAACTTGTTCGAAATTGTTTATCATTTCGAACAAGTTTTCTCGTTTTTAATAAGAAACTAAAGGCTATGAGGCACTGATTATATATTAGTGCCTCACAGCCTTTAGTTTCTAATAGATAGCTGGGAAACTTTCTCCAAATGATAAGTTATTCAGAGAAAGTTTCCCAGCTATCAAGAGGGAATTGTTCCTTATGAGGTATATAGTTATGATGTATACCTCATAAGGAACAATTCCCTCCTTAAAATCGTAGACATTTTTATACTTATTAATCAACCATTCAAAATCATATTCCTCTGAAAAGTTATTTTATTAAAAATTTAGAATTTTAATAAATATAGAGTTTGAATTTCATACAATACCTATATATTTTCAATAATGGAATTTGAAAACCATTCTCAAAAGTTCTCAGAAAACCTTTTTTTCATTAATTTTAAGAAATCTGAGTATTAAATTAAGTGATAAATTCGTTTGACACTACTTTAATTTTTAAATTCAAAAAATTATATGTGCTTCTTAAAATGACTCAAAAAATTTTTATTATAAAATAATATATAATATTAAAAATCCCACAACATTTTTTTACTTTACATAATCGTACTTCCTCGACGATTAATTTCCACTCAATTTCTATCGTTGACCGAACTTAGCATGCAACAATAATATGTATTATTATAAAAAAGAAAAAATAAAGCACGTTAAAATTTTTCTTTCTTGATTTTTTACAAAATCTACTTAGAATTATGCAAAATATGACTAAATAATTATAAATTTCAAGTTAAATTTTAATTTTGATAAATAATTTAAATTTCAAAATATCAAGTTCAGTTCGACTATGTATGTAGTAATTCCTCAATAAAGTGCCAAAACCCTATTAAAATATATGAACATTTTCAACATTTTAATGTTTTTATTTAAAAATTTGATGGAATATGAGCTTCAAACAATTATTATGTAAATAAAAATAATTAAATATATGTATTTATTCGTATTACAACCGTAGTAAGTCGATTCTTCCTTTCTTCTACTGAGTTTTGAATTTGATTTCGAATTGTAAAGAGATTCAAAGGGAAAATACTAGCGGATAAAAACTACCTCCATGAAAGGGTCATAATGGAGTCAAGTTGTATTTTTTGATATTTTTTGCTTTTCGAGCCTAAATAGGTAGCCAAGATAATGCCTAAAAATAAGGTTCTAAATTCTGAAGTTTACATGATCCCCTCGTGTGCACCCTTAAGGTTTCTCCGAATACTTGAATATTTATTTATACGCATTGATATTTTGCATATTGATCTGAAAATATAATGTTTGAACTGTGGTTGAAAATTGAGGCGATTTTTATAAATAAAGTTGAGAGAACTTTCAATTTCATTAAAGTGAAATAGCATTTAAATATTTAGATTAAATCAAAATAAAACTATCCTGGCCGTCTCAAATAATTGATCTTATTATAAACTTTTCAAAAGTGTGGAATTTCACAACTCTAACACGATGTCCAAAAAGCGTTACCATTCAAAATTATTTTCGTCTTTCAAAATATTTTATTTTCGATCGGAAATTTTTTTATATAATTTTTTTATCAAACAACAGCTTTCTTTATCAACGATGTCAGACTATTCGGAATATTCAGAGTATTCAGATGCGCCAAATGATACTTTTGATTACATAGCAAGTAACAGGAGAACGGAAATGACGTCAGCAAAATCGAAAACTGATAACGGCCCTGCCGATCCGTATATCTACATCATATCACAAGAAGAAAGTAAGAACGGTAAAGAGGTAAGCTCATTTCAATACAAAATGAAGCGATCATCTAAGAAATCGCCAGAAAGTTTCACAATAAAGAATTTGCCGAAGCTTGCTGAATTAAAAAAGGGTCAATTGTACACTGTTGCCATAAGATATGATGGAAACTATCTAACTTGTGTTGCACATTCCTTAATTCCAACAAAAGCAACAATAACAATTACAAGAGAAACAGAAGGAGGATCTATAGTACTCGATAAAATGACGAATCAGAACGGTGAGATCAATCATTTGAATTTTATCAACAATAAAATCGATTCATTTTATCCGATTCCAAAGGCTGGCGTAGTTCTACGTATCCTTATGCCAGGTACTGAACAATCGGCATTCGAAAGCATAGAATCATTGTTGGTCGAAGGATTTCCGGAAATGATTAAAGTTAACGTAAGCAAACCGGAAATAAACTACACTAATTCCATTGTTTTCCAACAAGTCATATCAGTTCCAAGACGTCTTCCTCCTACTTATCCATATTACTACTTCGAAGAAGGTAAGGTTACTGAAATTGATGGAAGCAACAGATACATTACAAAAGCCTTTCCAGAAACAGCTAAAAATTCTCCATCAATTTTAATCTGTCAGGTAAATAAATCTTTCCAAGTCGACATACTCACATCGCTTGCATTCACAGGAGCAGAACACATTATATTAGATTGTGTTAATAAAAGACTCCAACCACGAACCATTGATACCTTTAGATTCGAAAACTGGAATATCAAAAGAACAAATCCAAAGAATAGCACTTCATTTACAGGCGAACAAGTACTTCCAGGCATGGTATTTGTCAAACTCGTCAAGAAGAACGTTGATGGAATTATTCAGATTATTGATACACTTTATCCAGGTCCAGACGTCCAGGATGTCAAGGTCAGGTTAGCTTTCCTCAGACCAGCTGGTAATTACGACCTGATCAACACTCTTCCTGTTCCAGATACAAAAATTTTACCAGAATATTCTCCGAAGAAATCAAGAAGCCTCAAATCGCCAAGGAAGCATAAGAGTCATATGGAAGTAAAGAAGAAACCAGCGAAGAAGGAAAAGAGAAGCAAGTCACCAAGGAAATCCAATTCACAGCCAAAGCCGAAACCAGTTGTCGAAGAATATTATTATTACTCAGATGAAGACGAACCAGCTCCTTCCCCAAATCTTAAGATTTACGTTGATGAAAATGGAAATATCATCGATAACAGCGGTGCTCCTAAAAAAGATAAAACAATTTCAGACATCTTAAGAAAAATCAAAAAGAGTGGTGCTACACCAAAGATCCTCAGCAAATAATAAAATTGTATCTTGATGTTAATATAAAATTGGTCATTTTAGATTCGAATTTTTATTGATATCTTTTTTAACGAAAAACTCATAAGTTTAGACGCGTTACTGAAATTGCTGATCATTTATTTTACAAAAATACCGATATTCGGGAAGTTGTTTTGCATTCAAAAATAACAAAAATCGGAAGAGGTGCTTTTCAAGCATCTTCAATCAAGAAAATAACTCTCGAACAAATTGAAGAAATTGAGCCTTACGCTTTTCATTCTTGCTACAATCTTGATGCTATCATACTTGAAAACATCAAATTTATTGGTGAGCATGTATTTGATGGTTCAGGTTTGAAAGATATCAAAATTAACGGTAAAATTTCTAAACTTCCTTCAGATTTGTTCACAAAATGTTATAATTTACATTATTTTACTTCGAGTGGACATTCCCTTACAATCCCAGCTCAAACTTTCATGAACTTGAAAAATTTTGAAAATTTCGACTTCAAAGGAGATCAATTGTATGTTCACGAACAAGCGTTTGCCAATTCTGGACTTACAACTTTTGATTTTTCAAAACTTTCTGAAGCACGATCATCATCTTTTTCAAATACGAAGCTCAAATCAATTAATTTGTTAACAGTCAACAAAAACGGTCTCACCATAACTGGTGAAAATACATTCTCTAATAACAACTACCTAATTACGATCAAAATTTCAGACCAATATATTAAAGTACTCACAAAATCTAGATTGAGAGGCGGTCAATGACTTTTGAGGGGAAATTAACGCATGGAATTTAATATTATTTAGGTTGATATTCTTGCTTATTATTTCAGAAAAAAATCTTAAAAATTTCAATATGAAAATTGAAAGCAATTCAAAAAAATTGCTAACATGTAAATTTTAATATCCTATGCATAATTTCATATTTTGAACATTTTTTATTTTTGTTTAAAACTTAAAATTTTGCGAATTTAATATAATTTATAAAATATAATACGTATATATGTTTAAAATACACTAAATTTAATTGTTAATTGACGTTTTTGGGAATGAATTTTATCAAAACATGCCTGAATCCGAAAATTTGAAAGAACGAATTACACAATCATATATGTAGAATTCAAAATACAAACTTAAAGATTGTATACGTTTAAAATTATTCAGATTGTGTTTGATTTCCACTCATTCTGTTTCTTTTGAACTCTAACACTAACATTTCATGATGATTACCTGATCCATTTATACATGGTTGAATTGTTCCAGATTCTACCAGAAAATCAATCCAAATTTCTCAATGCATTCATGTTGATTGGTCAACAGCAGAAACCAAAAGATTTGTCCAAGTTAATTTCAGATAAATACAAATTACTTTTAATTTTGTTGAATATTGTTGGATTATCAATAATATGTGTTGTTTTTGTTGTTGTTTGTTGTGATTGCAAACCGAAGAAGAAAAAGAAGAAAAGTTCTACGTCTGATTCAGATTCTGACTCATCAGATTCGATTCCTGATGAAAGAACTGCTAAGTTTGCCATATCCTCATTAAGCAACAACGTTGAGGCGCTTCATACTTGTGACAGTCCTTTAGTTAAATCTTCTGTTGTAAGTAACGCCACAGATGATAATGTTTCATACGAAGTTGCTATGGATTCAAATCTTCCTGAACCAACAAAGATGTTGTCTGTAGAAGATATTAATGAATAAACATGTTTTTCTATTTGTAATATTTTGTAATTATTTTTCGTCTATCAATAGAAGGAATCAGTACAACATAAATGGACATATGACAGAAATAATCAGAATTTTCAAGGTATGAAAGAATGAAGGTTAAGCCTCATCAAAGATATAAAATTTATCTCTGCAATAACTTCAATGTTAAAAAATAATATAAACAGACAATCATATTCGTAGTTTCTAATAAGTTGTAATAAACAGAAATTCATCAAAAGTGACAGCTCTCAATTTTTTGACATTTGTAAATTCTAAATTGAATGAGAAAAATGAAATAATACTAAGCATAATACAATATTCTAGATTTAATTATAATTAGGAAAAGTTAGTTTTGAGAGTACTTTTCATAGGCATATAGAATGAAATCTTCTGAAAAATAATATCACATAAACTCATATTATTTTCTAATATATAACTATTTTATATAAAAATCAAATTCAATGATCTTAAAAGCGAAGGATAAACCTCAAAATTTACGAATATAATGAGTGGGAATATAATGCTTATCTATCATAAAACCATATGAAATATCAATTTTTGCTTTACGCCTAATTTTTGACGACAATTAGCAAAAAATGTTAAATGTTAACACTCAGTCCATTTGAATATGAAAAATAAAATTGACTTTGATTAAATGTTTTTATTTATCATGCAATTCTTCTTGCGACCAAAGATTTGAATAAAAGTTCAAAAAATAAGATAGCTTAAAAAATAATATACGGTAGTGTTTACTAATAGATGAATAGTATATAAATTCTATTAAAATGGATTTGATCCAAAAAAATATAAAACCAAAAATAATTGTTATAATTTAAATGAAGAAGTAATTTAAAACGATTTTATTTATGATCAAATTTTATATATTTTTTTGGATCAAATCCATTTTAATGGAATTTATATACTATTCATCTATTAGTAAACACTACCGTATATTATCTTTTAAGCTATCTTATTTTTTGAAATTTGATTCAAATCTTTGGTCGCAAGAAGAATTGCATGATAAATAAAAACATTTAATCAAAGTCAATTTTATTTTTCATATTCAAATGGACTGAGTGTTAACATTTAACATTTTTTGCTAATTGTCGTCAAAAATTAGGCGTAAAGCAAAAATTGATATTTCATATGGTTTTATGATAGATAAGCATTATATTCCCACCCATTATATTCGTAAATTTTGAGGTTTATCCTTCGCTTTTAAGATCATTGAATTTGATTTTTATATAAAATAGTTATATATTAGAAAATAATATGAGTTTATGTGATATTATTTTTCAGAAGATTTTGTGTTCTTCTTCAAAATTTTATTTTTTTATTAAAAAGAATCTTTACAAAATATACATTTACTTTAATTAATATTTAAAAACGTGCTCTATCAAAAGTTCCAAAAATTCAATATTTTAGCTTTTCTGAGGTGTCACTTTTGATGAATTTCTGTTTACAACAATAAGTTAATTCAATGGGTTTTAAATGATTCTTCAAAGAAATTTTCTCAATTTATGTAATCTAATATAAATCTATTTATTAGTAACAAAAACAACGAAAACAAAAGGAACAAGAACAAATAAGAAGTTTGTTATAGCAAGTGCTAAAGTAGTTGCATGAGAAATACTATATATGGAGAAATATACAGTGAAAGCAATGCAAAATAGAGCAAACAAAACATCAACAATAAACATAATATTAAATCTCCTTGGTTTGCAAAGCATCATTGAAACAAAAGTATATGGAATTGTAACTACTCCTATATGTAACAAGAAGAATACATATGTAAATTGTGTTGGATATGATTTCCATTTAATGATAGTGCCATGAATTCCAAAAACTCCGTAATTTCCTTCTACATCTGTGACACCAATTGGAATAATTATTGGAGAAACCAGTAAAAGGAAAAGATATAAAAGAACTTTTCTGTTATATTTAACAAGATAGAACCTGATAAACAAGAAACCGAATAATATGAATTTCAAATGATCTAATATTCTATGTGCTTTCTCTTTGTTTTCAATGTATTCCATGCAACTGATATAAAACTTTTCTAAAAATGAAAATCTTCTTTCTATATTGAAAGGAATCAAAACAACAAGCATGATTATAAACAATAATATTAGCAAGTATAGTGTATATTTGTAGATCTGCCTTTCATCACCAATTACTTCATTCATATAAGGAGAAAGTCCACCAACAAAGAAATTCACAATGTTTTTTGTTGATGAATTTACGTGAACAACTTCAACATGTTGAAATCCATTATTAAAGAACATTTCAACATGATAAAGTGACATTCCTGGTTTCAAATGTCTTTCAAACTTCATTTTCAATCTATCACAAAGTAATGTTTCATTTTCTGAATCAGAGAAAACAATAACTCTGACATCGATGTGATTTGAACTAAACATTGACATTTTTGATATTTGTTTATAATCTATTGGATAAGTAACAACAAATGATGGATTATCATATATTTTATAGCTGTGGTAAAAGATATTTCCATTGTCATTTGTAACTATTCCAATGTTTCTGTGTCCAACAAGATCAGAACAAATTATTTCAAGAGAAGATTCATGATGTTGTGGCTGAATTTCATATGGATGCGAATGTCCTGTTAAGACAACAGAAATATGATATTTAATGATCATTTCTTTGAATGATAAACCATTGGAAGACTTCCTTTCTCCCCATTGTCCAACAGGATAATGTGTAACAATTATTATTTGTTTCTTTTCATTTAATCTCAATGTTTCAACAATTTTTGCTTCAATCAAATCAAGAATTTTCTTAGAAGGATGGATAAATATGTCAAGTAAAGCTCTTGAACGAGGAAAATCATAAGGATTAACTATAAGAAATGCAATATTTTCGTAAATTCTTGTTGTAATGATAAAATCTGTTTCAGAACTAGTTTTGTTGGTAAAAATTCCGACTGAATTCATGTACAAGTTAGAACTTATATCAAGAGAGTATGTATTAAACATGTCATGGTTTCCTGCTGCTTCAATGAAGTATTTCGGATCGATTTTGCTGTTTTCTTTGAAATTTCTTAATAATTTGTAGTCGTTTTCGTTTTGAATGGCAATCCTTGTGCCCAAATAGGCACTTGTCTTACCAGGAAATGTCCAATCGTCAACAAGATCTCCGCTGTTAACAATTGCCGTATGGTTATATCTTTTTGAAAAATTTAACGCATTATTGTAATTTATGTTGTTGTTTTGTTTAGAAGAACTTACGTGTGTATCTGTCATATGAATGAAAAGTGATGGATCCTCGCTCGAATTAAATTTATTATTTGATCCCGAAAATCTTTGGATATTTTGAGATGGAACTGTCATAATTACAAGGTACGATAGGGAGAGAAATAGTATTAACCATAAATATTTGGTCATTAAGTATCTACAACCAATTAAAACAACTTTTTCGGAGTCGATGGTGGCATTCTCAAAATCGTCTATGAGAATATCAGTAGTCTGCTTAACAGTGTCCAACTCGTCTTGTGTCTGGCTAGTAAGTTCCATTGAGATGTTTTGATAATGATTTCGTTGCATTGGAAGTAGTATATGAGTGCGGGTTTAGTGACTTTTTTTGTTGCATCTATATATAGACGATGCATTAAAATATATTTATTTATAAATCATTAAAAAATTAACATTAATTTTAAAATAATTTATTTTTTATCTTTTATAAAAGAAACTATATATAGATGATGTCAGATATTCCGCGATTAATTAAACATTGTTTAAATCCTGAATGGGTTAAACTTCAATTTAAAAATGAAGATTGTGAATTATTAAATGAATATGAAAGCCAAAATAAGCTAATGAGGTATAAATATAATGATAAAGAATATTTAATTTCATGGAATCAATGGAGTCATAATCAAAGACCTCATAAACGAGAAGAAGAAATTGAAAATAATGAAATGGAAATCATTGATGACATTAAAGAGGATGGAATTCCTAAATTTTGTAGAAAAACCTTTAGAACTAAGTTAGGAGCATATAAACGTAGAGTATTAAATCCTGAATATCTTAAACATCAATTTAAAAAGGAAGACTGTGAATTATTAAACGCTAATGAATATGAAAATGCTAAATCAAAACTGAGATATAAATATATTGGAAGTGATGAAAGGTGTAAAGATAAAGATAAAGTTTATACAGTTTCATATAATAACTGGCACACGTTAGGGATAAGAAAACATTTAGGAGATTATGGTAAAAGTTCCGAATTCTTCAAATCTAGTATGTACGAGAGAATAAAAGAAATCAGATATAATTATCATTCATGAATGAAAAATAAACTTTAAAAATTCATGTCTTACATTTATGAATAATTTATTTTTTAATTTGTATGAAAATGAGTGTCAAGACTAACGACGTTAAAAAATTGGGATTCACAAACGAGGAAATAAAGGATATATTAGAGGAGGCGAGTTATGAAGTTAATAAATATTATTTAAGAAATTGTCAAAAATTCGCGGAGTTTTTAAATGAGTTTGATTATGATGGAAAAATGAATAAAGATGATGTTATAAATTTCTTATATCCCACATCTGAAGAAGAAAAACCTAAAGAACCTGATGTTTTCCCTGAATATTATGAAGAACGGATTAAAGATGATGAATATGATGAAATTGAAAGACTGGAAAAAATAAGAGATGAAATAGATGAAAAAATTAAGGAATTAAGAGAAGTTGAAAAATATAATGAAAATGAAGTAGAGGGTTTAATGAATATCCCAGCTTCAGAATCAGCAGTTCAGAAATCTCATGAAGAAAGATATAAAAATTATGTCTCAGAATCAACACAAAATTTATTAGATGGTGAAATAGACGAAACACTTTCAGAAGAAGGTACTAAATTTATTCGTAAACATAAGTTACAATTTATTGATAATGAAGAATACCCCTGTATCCTACTTTCACCTCCTCTTGATTCTGAAAAATTCAAAAAAGCACTGAAAAATGTAACATATGCAACAAATACAATTAAGAAAGAAGACCATGATATTTACACAAATTATTATTTAAATAAATGTACAGGTGTTGATAAAGTTTTTGATTTGTTAGATAAAATATCAAAAGAAACAATTGGTACATATAAAATTTTATGCGATTGTGGTTTCATTATTGAAGATACCAATAATGTTTCATATGAAAGAACAGCACCGAAGGAAGACGAAGTGGAAAGGTCTATACCATTCGTTATTAAGAACATAAAAGATATGAAAACTTATAAACATTATATTTATTCATTTATTTCAGAAAAAATGGAAGCAACCCATAAAACATCATCTCATCATTTTATAGCTATTCATACATTCCTTTTCAAAGTTGTGAAATTAAATAAGACAGGAATTAGATTTAATGTATCAGGGTATGCATTCTTGAGTAAATTAAAATGTATTCGTCACGTCGCAGATGATAAAAATTTATGTGTTCTTAATTCATTTTATGGACTTTAGCCCTGGACTCTCTGAGTCTCGGACTTTAAAAATAAACTTTATTTTTATTTATTTTTTTAATTTTTGTTCTTACATAAATGAACAAAAACGGAACAGCTAAAATGAATGATAATCAAATTAGAGCAGAAGGTAGAAGGTTATTTAAACGTTTCTATAACATTCCTGATGGTGTTAATCCTAAAACTCGTAGAAGCTATTTAAATGAAGCAATAGATGCATATGAAGGGTTTGACATTACATCAGAAAGTGAGAGATTGGCGAGAATGTTAAACGTTAATATTGATTTCTATTATTGTGATCCTCAACCAGAAGACGTGGACATAAATAAGGTAGACTTTCCATTAGTGGAATCAATAATGATAGATCCAGAATTTGAAACAGTAAATATTTTATTAACACAGAGTCCATGTGGAAAACTTCACGCTGACAGAATTACAGACGTTGAAGCACTCACAGGATATAAAGTTTGCCCCTTTTGCAAAGAAGAAGTATATTCTATCCGTGATGACCCAGAAAGGAAAAACCAAAGAAGATTTTTAAAACATTGTGAGAAATGTAAAGAAAATAATGGAAGATTAATTCAAGACGTTCAATTGCAAAACACACAACAACCATATGCACCACATATTACGAAACAGAAGATATATCAGTGGTTATTAGCTCATAATTTGCAGGAATATTATAAACCAACAAGATATTATATTACTTTTGACTTCGAAACATTAGAGACTAAAGAAGAACTTCAACTTTCTGAATGTGCAACTTTGAACGCTTACTTAAAACCATTCATGGTATCATCAACAGTTAAATTAAAGCCGCTTTGCGGCGAGGTCGTAGACCGCGATAAAACGTATACGAGGAATTTTTGCTTAACTTCAAGTGATTCTTTTATTTCTGACTGGATTGAATTTTTATTTTCAACCTGTTCATTAGTTGCTAAATCAAATATTGAACAATACGATGAATTATTGAAACCGCAAACGGGCCAAACGGCGGGGACTTTGTCCCATACATTAAATGAAAAACAGAAGGAAGCATTTAAAGAACTTCTAGATGAGGAATTCAATAAAGTGAATATCATAGGTTTTAATTCGGGAAAGTTTGATTTAAATTTAATTCTTCGTGATTTTAACACTGCAAAATGGAAAATAAAATCAATGCTGGGTTCTTCTTCACAATTTAAGCAAATCATTGTAAAGAAAACAAACTGTCCATATGAATTGAGATTTATTGACATCAGAAATTATATAGCGGGTGGAACATTGGACCAATTCACTCAAGATTTCGGAAACAATAAAACACGTGTTAAATCCTTTTTCCCTTATCAATTTATCACATGGGAGAATTACGAAGAAGAATTATATAAAGAGGAACCATTCACTCAAGATTCATTTTATTCAGCATTAACTCAAGAAACTATATCAGATAGTGATTATCAAATATATCTCAATGATGCTAAAAATTTTAAGAATAGATTAGAATATTTTATTCATTATTGCAATAAAGATGTTGAAATTATGATTGACCCAATTGATAAAATTATCGAAGAAACATTTGTTTATAAAATTGATATGCTTCATAATCTTTCTTTATCATCGAATGCTTCAATGATTCGTTACGCTTTAGCATATAAAGACTTTAATCCTAATGAAAAATATCCTGAGGAAGAGATAGAATCAAGTTTTGAATTAACGAAAAAGTATTGGAAATATAAAATTGAATCATATAAGAAACAAGATGAAAAAGCAGAAAGGAATACTAAAAATAATGTTTCAATGGATGATTTTCAATACTATCACGATTTAATCCTTTCATCTAAATGCAAAATGTGTGGTAAAGCGTTTACATATGCTAATAAACCAACATTAGATAGAATAGATAATGAAAAACCACATACTAAAGAAAATTGTCAGTTAATGTGTTGTTATTGCAATGTCGTAAAATCAAACAAAGATGAAGATGTTCAACGTTTAAGAATCAATTTAAGAAATTACACATTAAAAAATAATTTACCAATGACTTTAGATTCAGTTGAAGCTTATCACATCCTCCGTAATGGAATTACTGGTGGTCTATCAAATGTTCAACATCGTGTTAATCTTAAAGGTATCACACACATTAATAAACTTTCATATAATCCAGAAACTAAAACTGTATCAAATGAGGACACCACCAACATTATGACTCATTTTGTTGGTGTTGACTTTAATTCATTATATCCTTCATCATTTTCATCTAATCCCCATGATTTTATTCAATATACTGACCATAAAATGTATATGCCGGGAAGATTGAATGGAGTTATCATTTGTGATACAGCAACAAAGAAAGCAAAAGCACTGGGAATAATTAAGAAGAAAAATACTTTATTCGTGGCTGAAGTAAAGGGTCACATTGATGAAAAATACATTAATGATTACATAAACTTTTTACCGATAATAAGAAACTTAGATATTATCACAGATGAAAAAACAATTGGTTGTTTTATGTATAATTACATGAAATCAAACAATCTACCAGTTGACCAGAAACAGAGAAAATTAACTCAGTTAGCATCAACACACAACCAATATCAACCATTTCTTCTTATTATCTATGGTATCTAATAGATAGATTTAATTTTATCATCGATGACATTCAATCAATTTTAACATTTACTAAAAACACTTGTTTTAATGAATTTGCGAACGAATTTATGAACGAAAGACAAAAGGCTGAATTAGAAGGAAATAAAGGAAAAAGTTTATTTTGCAAAATTTCACTTAATGGATCATATGGTTACGATGCAATGAATACACAAAATTATGCAAAGACTAAAATAATGAATGCACAGAAGGCACGCGTTGCATGTATGTCAAATAAGTTTAAAAACATAAGAGAAATAGGAGAGGATACATATCAAGTGATGCTCAAAGATAGATTTATAGATGTGATACATGTTTACAAGAGGCATTTTTTACTTTAGATAACGCAAAATACTGGTATTTAGTTTTCATTTATGATTTTATGTATAAATGCTTGGATGTTAATCGTTTTCATTTCATTGAAGGTGATACTGATTCATCTTATTGGGCAATCGCTGGCGATCCAAATCTTCCTAACACTCAAGCATTTCAAGCAATTGTTACCGATAAAAAATTTTATGATAAAAACATTTTCAAATTCGCACCTTTTGATTTCTTCTGTTTTGATGAGAAATTTAAACCTAAATTAAAGAATAAAGTTGAAGAAAAAGCACATGAGAAAAAATTATTGGGTTTAGCAATTGAGAAACAAGGTGATAACATGGTTGCTTTATGTCCTAAATGTTATACTTCATTCAACGGTTCAATTGATGGGAGTGATTTTAAAAGATTGCACAAAAAATGAAAGGTGTTAGTTTACGACAAAATAAACAATTAACACCTAAAAATTATTTGGATATAATAAATGATAAAGTTATTTTCGATGGTCAGAATATTAATTTACAACTTAAAAACGGGTCAATGACTCGCTTAACAATCGGTAAGACTGCATTAACAGGAGCACACACTAAGGCTGTATGTTGTGAAAATGGATGTTGTATGCCATTTATTTAATACATTTATTTTATTTTTAATAAAATGCCACAGAAGAGACAAAAGGAACCGTTAATGATGTGATTCAATATGTAAATGATGGTTTTGATACTATGATTCAAAGAGGTGGGCACCCCTAAAACATTTATTTTATTTTTATATATGGATAATGCAGATTTAGAAAATTTAATTGATGATTTAGTACTTAATCAATATTTTCCTAATTATTATGAATTAAAATCATATCTCCAAAAATATAATAAAAATATAACGGGTGATGATATGGATTATTATTATCCATATTATAAAAATGAAATTTTGAAATATCATGATAAAATAATTTCTAAAATTAAAGACAAAATTAAAAATAATGAATATACAAAGGAAAAAACTAAATCACAACTTAAACAGTTGAAAGATTTCAAAAATAAAGTATTAACAGAAGAAGATATTGATGAATTATATAATTTATATAATCCTGAGCCGCAAAAGCCAAAAGAGAAAAAGCCGAAAACAACACCAAAAGAGAAAAAGCCGAAAACAACACCAAAAGAGAAAGTAGCAAATGTTCAACAGCTAAAGGTGCAAAACGCCCAGGTCCTTCAGACCATAAATGAAGCACAAGCTTTAATTTATGATTCATTAGTTAAACCATATTCAGCCCAACTTTTAAATGAAGCACAAGCTTTAATTTATGATTCATTAGTTAAACCATATTCAGCCCAACTTTTAAATGAAGATCAACTTTTGGAATTCATCCTTCAACATAAACTCGAAGCGGGAAAGTATATCAAACCTTTATATACAGCATATTTAAAACAAATGAACAGAATACATCCAGAATTAATGAAAGTGGGTGTCAAATCCAAAACTTCATCATCCAAAATCAAAGCAGATAAAATTAAACCACTTGCAACACCAAAACCTCCAACGACAGTACCTCCTCATCCTTCAGTTAATCCTTCATCATTCACTTTATTATATCCATTTCAAACATTAAAGAAGCAAAAGATTTTAAAAAGGATTTCAAGATATTAAATAAACCAATTGACCCAAAAATTCAACCGTTAAAGGAAAAATTCAGTCGCCCTTCATTTGCACCATATCCATATTCATACGAAATCGATCATCTGGAATATTCAAAAGGAAAAGTTACTTATTTATTTGCCATTAACATTAACACTAGATATTTATATTGCATTCCAGTGAAAGGGAAAACAGAACAGGAAACAAGAAGAGCTATTCAATACTTACTAGATCATGAAAGAGTAGATAATATAAGGTGTGATGGTGATAAAGGATTTCAGGCAGCTATGGCTCATTATTTTCCACAAATTAATTTTTACTTCTCATCTTCTCCATATACGTTTCATAATAAAATAGTTGATGCGGTAATGAGAACTCTTAGAGATGCGTTAGGGGTTAACGGTCAGATATACTGGGATGGAAATCATGACTCCATCATACAACAGTTAGTATATTATTACAATAATACATGGCATAGAACAATAAACATGAAACCGGTGGAAATGAAAAATGATATTTCAAAAGAATGGGAATATATTAGAAAGCAAATGGAAAGGTTGAATGATGTTAAACGTGAACAAATTAATTCAGGGCTCATGAATTTTAAACAAGGGGATAAAGTTTTGATTCATCTCGATTATGGAAAAACTGATAAATCAATGACAAAAAGAAGACGAAGATTTGACACAATAGCTGAATTTGTTAGATATATTAACGGTAATGCATTAGTTGAAGTTGGCAATAAATTAATAGAAATTCCGATTTATTTTATTACTCCATTATATTTAAATAATATTTAATTTTTTTATTTCGTAAGAAATGAGTGACAACAAAGCAGTCAAGAGTCCAGACGATGAATATAAAAAGAAACTAAACAGAATTAAATCAAAAATATGCTATTACAAAAAGAAGTCACAATGTGGTGGGGTTGAAAACGATAAAGAAATAATCGAAAAATTAGAAACTTACCGTTCAATCCTTAAACTGAGTGAAGCAAAAATAAAAGAATTTAATAGAATAAATAAATTGATTGGAAGAGATGAATTTAATAAAGATGAATTTTTAAACTCAATCCAAATTTAATTTTTATTCCTCTTCGACAACATCTCTCTTTCCATCATTACTGCATAACCACATTTTCTCAATTTTAGTGGTTTGTTATTTTTAACATGTTCTTGCATCATTTTTATCATTTCCTCCCTTGTTATGATTCGTGGTAAATTTTGAGCTTGTGGGGTATTCATTTATGATAAAAATAAAAATTTGTTATCACTTATTTTATCGTTAATGTTTTTAGGTTATTCAATAATTAATTATTTTTTGAATAACCGAAGGTGCTACCATGTTACCATGTGCTACCAGGTCATTTAACTTCTCTGAAAAAATGTGACAACATGACATTTTGACAACAACATAGGAAATATGATGCAGTCCAAAAATAAAGTTAGTTATGAATTATTTTTATTTTTTTATTCCTATATAAATGACAGCAACAAACAACAGCAACAACTATATCGTTTCTGATGAAAATATCATTGATTCATTAGCTGAGGAATTAGTTGTGGCAGAAACTAAAACCCTCAACGAAAGAATTGGTGAAAACAAGATTGATTTACATAACTACCTCAAACATGATGGAGGAAGAGGAAGGAAGGAAAACTGGTATGGCTTTATTAGTAAATAAAATTTCAAATTTAACGATTATAGATGTTGATATCAATAAATCATACAATGATGAACTTAAAGAAACAGTTAGAAAAGACATTTTATCAAAACTTTCGGATAAAGATGTTATCGTTAAAACCGCTTCAGGAGGTCTTCACATTTATTGCAACACTAATTTCTTCTATTCAACCTCGAACAGAATGATTAAATGTTATTCCTGCAATGATTATGATATTGATATCATGACTTCTATGGATGATTCAAAGCGTTCTTTAGTGGTTATGGCTGATTCAAGAGTTCGCAAGAAT